GAAGAAATTAATTCTTTGATTCAAAAACAAGTTTTAAAACCCGTTTGCTATTCAGAATGGGCTGCTCCCATAGTTCCAGTAAAAAAAAGGAAGGGGCTATTCGCCTTTGTGCTGATTTTAAAACTGGACTCAATAGTGCTTTAAGAATTCACCAATACCCTTTGCCGCGTTCTGAAGAAATTTTTGCTACATTAAATGGAGGAAAAACATTCACTGTTATAGACTTTTCCGAAGCCTATCTTCAAATTGAATTGGATTCTTCTAGTTAGGAGTTGTGCATAATTAATACCCATAAAGGACTTTTCAGTTTCCAAAGATTGCCATTTGGAATTTCGTCGGCTCCAAGTATTTACCAAAATTTGATGAATCAGATGTTGGCGGGACTTTCAGGAGTTTCATCTTACTTAAATGACATAATAATTACAGGGGAAGATGAAAAATCACACTTGGACAATCTGGAAAAAGTATTTCAAAGAATAAAAGATTTTGGACTACGTGTTAGAAAAGAGAAATGCAAATTCATGCAGTCAAGTGTGGAATATCTGGGATTCATTATTTCTTCAAAGGGGTTACACAAGTCTCCAAAGAAAATAGAAGCCATTTTAAACATGCCGCGACCTTCGGATTTGGATAAATTGCAATCCTATTTGGGCATGATTAATTATTACTCCAAATTCATACCTAAGTTAGCTGATTTATGCTACCCTCTAAATAAACTTCGCAGGAAAAATGCTACTTGGAATTGGTCCGAAGAATGCGATCAAACATTTTTAAAAATTAGGGAGGAACTTTCTTCTTCAAAATTTTTGGCCCACTATGACCCAAATTTGCCGCTTATTTTAGCAGCTGATGCTTCTTCAGTAAGGGTTGGTACAGTGATTTATCACCGATATCCTGATGAATCTGAAAAGCCAATTGCTCATGCTTCAAAAACGTTAAAGCCAGAAGAGCAACCTTATTCACAAATAGAGCGTGAAGGTTTAGCTATTGTGTTTGGAATAAAAAAATTTCACCAATATGTATGGGGTAGAAATTTCAAACTATTAACTGATCATAGACCGTTAGTTACAATTTTTGGCTCAAAGAAAGGAATACCTACTTCCACTGCTAATAGACTTCAGCGTTGGGCTATCCTCCTAATGGGGTATTCATTTGATATGGATTATGTTCCTACTTCAATGTTCGGACAAGCAGATGGTCTCTCCAGACTTCCTGCAGGATCTGACAACGATTTTGATAGTATTGGATACAATTTCGAGTATGTAATATCTAATATTATAGAAAATGCACAAAAAAATATTCCAGTTAAAGGTGAAGAAATAATTCGAGAAACGGTCATGGATTCTACTTTAAACAAAGTTAAAGAATATATATTACAAGGCTGGCCAAAACTATGTCCAAATAATGATATTAAACCGTACTTCGTAAGACGACATGAATTGTCCGTGGAGAACTACTGTGTTTTGTGGGGAATTAGGACGATTGTTCCAAGAAGTCTTCAATCAAGGGTTTTACAGGATCTTCATTCAACCCATGCAGGGATCGTACGAATCAAGGCTGAGGCTCGACGATATTTGTGGTGGCCTTATTTGGATTCTGATATTGAAAGATTATCCTATAATTGTATAGCTTGTACGTCTATAAACCGGGATCCTCCTAGGGTACCTATACAGAGTTGGCCTAAGGTTCCACAGCCATGGTATAGAATACACATAGATTATGCTGGACCTTTCAAAAATTCAATGTTTTTAATTGTCGTGGATACATTTTCAAAATGGTTAGAAATTATACCAACGAAGTCTACAAACTCTGAGACTACAATTAGACTATTGAAAGACCTTTTTGTAAACTATGGGTTTGTTCAAGAGATTGTTTCTGACAACGCTACTGCCTTTACGTCAAGTATTTTCCAAGAATTCTGCAAAAATTATGGTATTAATCACATAATTACTCCAATTTATCACCCGTCATCAAATGGACAAGCTGAACGTTACGTTCAATCTTTTAAGTCTGCAGTCAAGAAAATTTGCTTAACCGCATCTGGAGATAAAGTTGTGGATCATGTCAAAAACTATTTGTTCAAATACAGAAGTACCACTCACGCAGCAACCAAAGCTTCACCCAGTGAATTGTTTCTTGGAAGGCAAATACGAACTACGTTGGATCTGGTTAAACCAACCATTAATAAAAAAACGGAATTTCCCGCTAGTAGATTTAAAATTGGAGAAACGGTTTGGGTGAAAATGTTCAAAAACCTAAACACCTATTCTTGGGAAAAGGGAGCTATTTTAGAACAAATAGCAACCAACGTATGGAAAATTGAAGTTAATGACAAAGAAGTCAAAAGACATTCAAATCAGATAAAATATTACAAGGGATCGAATAATGGTAGTGAGGAGGAAATAGAATTGGAACTGCCAGTGAGAGGTTCCAAAACGGGTTCTCCTGTAAGAAATAACAGACGGTCCTTGCCAATTGCTCTTCGTAAACCCAAAAGGAATTGTGGACCTCCTCAAAGGCTAGGTTATCAGCCAGAGGAAGAGGAGGAAGAAGAAGAAGAGTAAAAAAATAATAATAATAATAATTTACTCATCATGTACATAGTAGCGTAGTTTAGTTCATATGGAATATTCTTAATTCTTTCTAACTGGGGTGAAGGAGTATTGTGTATTATAGTTTTTATAATACTTGTAAATAAGTAAATAGTGTATGCGCACGAACAAGAGAAAAAGGGAGTCGGTACTAATTCGGCCGGGCTACGAAAACGACAGTTCGCACGGTGATTTTCGCGTGGTTCTTCGGTTGTGCCATACTTCGGCCCTTTGGGCAAATACGTGATCGTAACAGTGCGGCTATAGACTATACTGTGACTAATTTAGTGTATTGGACAATGAACATTCAAGCATTGGATAATAATTCCTAGTACGTAAGTCGATATATAAAAGTTTACAATGTTCTGTAATATAGAGTAACAATAAATGTTGCTGTCTAAAATTTTAGTGTTGACAGCTTGGTTTTTCCGATGAATCTAATACCATGTACCTTTCCAATCCGGAACTCTTTAATGGGTGTCGGGGTCAGTGGCGGCTCGTGACTATTTCAAATGAGAAGGCTGAAAAATAATGAATTACGGTAGGGTAACCACTATGCATCAGGCGAAATTTGTTTTGGGGTGCCCATGCCCTCAATAATTTATTTCAAATGCAATAAAAACCATGAATACTGGAGATTATTCCACTCATGTGTTAGAAATCCCATAAGACAAGTGACGATTTTCAGAATTACAGCGAAAATTCTCTTTTCCATACTAGAGAGAATTACAGCGATAATTCTCCCATGGTATTTTATACATGGTTGTCATGCTAATTTTTGATACAAACAAACGGTTCCTGATAGCAACCATTTATTTGTATTGATTATTAAGATGTTCAAATCATTTAATACATATTTATTTCCATATTTTTTGCATTCTCATACGTGAAATAATCCTCTAAATACCACTTGAGCTTGAAAATGAACCAGATAATTTTGAAGCTCTCGGGGTATTATTCCCGAAAATCTTATTGAATACTACAAAAAAGCCTTTGAGAAATATCCCGCCACGGGAAACTGTTTTCGAGAATATCGACCTGCAAAATTTTAACAAAATTACAAAAAATTTCAACTTTGACAGCTGATATCTCAAAGACAAAATCGGCCTGGAATCTCAATAAAAAATATTTTATAGGTATAGGTATCCACCCAAATTATCCACTGACCAATATAATTATAGATTGGGCCCCGTGATTAAAATAACTTGAGCCCTTCGGGCTCGCGTATAACTCCGGCCCTTCGGGCTCGCGTATAACTCCGGCCCTTTGGGCCGGAGTTCCCTTTGGGCTCGTATTACTGAGTATCCCAGATTCAGAGATTTTTGTGTGTAATTTGTGAATTATTATTTCAATTAAGAATCAGGTATAAAAAACTGAGATTGAATTTTCAATTTTTTGGGGGAGGCTTAGCCTCCCCTGCCTCCTCTGACGAGCCGCCACTGGTCGGGGTTTCACTTTCGTGAACTGGAGCTCCTCGTGTTGTTTCCTGTATCCAGGAAGAGGATAGATTGCTGGGGTGACGTCATTATTAAATCTTTGGATTCTGCCCTAAATAGACAAAATTTTCCTTTCAAATTAAGGTAGCAGGTAGCTACTATAGATACTACAAGATAAACCTGGGGTTGAAATTAATCAAATCCAGAATACATCAAAATTCTTCAGATGTTCTAATTAAAACTTGTTTCTGAATTTTTGACCTGTCTGGACTTCTATTAAAAAATTACACTCTTTAGTCGAGATAATAATTGACGGAGTCAAACAGAAAATGGCTATTTAGGCCTCTGCCTAAATTCAATAAAGAGTTGATAGGGATGGACACACAAATTTGTTTTTCACCGACTCTATTTAGAACAAATGGTCCAATATTCCCACACTAACAATTGATTTTGAAAACCAGACCACCACTACCTATATATTAGTCCAAGTCTGAATTGACTTACCTCAAAAAAAAAAAAACGTGGCACAACCAATCAGCACTCACACAAAATGGAAGCCAACAATTAGATAGAAAAAATTAAAATAAAATATTTATATTTCAAGAATAGAAAAGATAAGATTTATCAGGTGAAAACTCAACAATAATACGATAATATGAATTGCAAAATATATTGAAAAACCTATAAGGGAGAATCCAAAAATTAAGAGCAAAAATTATTGCCAGACTTCTGTCAACGAAAGAGATCGTTTTAGAAACCAAAGCCTACAGGAAAACGATTCTGTGTTTTTTTATACTTAACTGCATTTTAACCAGTTCAACCAATCAGACGAGTACCCCCAGTGCACCCAAAAGATCATATTCTGTTACGTAAATGATACATTTATCGTAACACCTTGGAAAAGGATTATATTGTACTGTATTCTAATGTTGCCAACAATAGCTAAAAATAAATAATAGAATTTCTATTTCAGTTCCTCCTCAACGACCGAGAATAGAGTTCAACGGAACCCAGGTACTGCCCGGTCACAACCTGACGACGCTTCACGGCGAAGTTGCAGTTATAAAATGCGTGTCGCATTATGGAAACCCGCCTCCGGTATTAAAATGGTTTTTAGGTGAGTCGAAAATATATAGATTAGTCTTTTATATCGCCGAGGCGCTTCTTTATCGCCTCTCGCCTCGGTAAATTGAAATGTGAAATATTCAAAGGGAGAATTTGTCGTGTCGTGTGCTTTGGGATTATGTAAAGTTCAAGATTATTTTGCTTTCAAGCAATATTATATTTTTAATTAATTTCATATTCTCTTCTGCCAAATTGTCCAACCAATAACGGGACGGACAGCGTCTGCGGCAAATCGTTTTTATTGTCCCTTTTCCCAAATATCTGGTCCGCCTTTATGTTGTTAAACTAAGGGTCAGGACACTTTGGCTTTGGTGAATGTCCAGAAGAGTGAAATTATTTGCTTTTTGTCGCTGTTAGGCAAAGAAAATGTCGATCTCAGTACATTTAGTAGTCCAATCTCTAACACATCTAATCTAATAACTCGGAAAAGTGTTTTCTTAGGATTCCTCACGTTTCCTCTTCAAATGTTTACCTTTCGGCAAGCTGGAAGAGTGATTTCGGATGTTATTTTATCAAAAATCGAATCGAATTGACTTTTTGGGTTAATTATTGAAGAATTCCCTGTATTCCCTGTATTTTACCTTGAACTGTTTTGTAAACCCTGACAGGACTGCTGGTCAGAATAGTTTTGACAGTCAATCAGAACAGATAAACGTTGTCATATATAATACCCAGGGATTCATCAAGCCAAGTAGCTGGAATTTTTTCATAAATGAAAATTCAAGCTTTTAAAAATTTGACTTGACTTGATTTTTGATCTGAACTACTTGACTTGATATCAAGTAAAATCAAACTACTTGATAACGATGTGTGAAATGCGCATCGAAGCGTTGAAATAGAGGATTCACCGAGGTTAAATAGGGGGATTCACCGAGGTTACAGTCAGGCCCGTTCCTGGGGGGTCAAGCTGTTGCGGGTTCAAATTTCAATCCGATTATTGGCTTGATTTCAATATAGTAAATTAATTTGTGATCAATATTATGCAATGAATTATTCTAAATTGTTGACAGGTCTCCGTTTACTAAAATATTATTATTATTGTGAACTAGGCTTAAGTGAATATGTACATTTAAAACAGAGAACTCATCGGTTGCTCCATCTGTTGTCCCAAGCAAATAATTTTAAATAGTAACAATAAAATAGGATTTCTTCTTATAAACAAATATAGAAATAAAAAAATAGGTAAAATGAAACCTTACAATAGGTAGCGTATTTATGTGCAGTTTTCTGCTGTTATGGTTTTTGTCTTTTACCAAAAATGTATTCAGTGACTTCCCAAAAATTGTCGGTACCATCTAGGTAATTTTTGAAAGTAGATAATTGATTTATTGTATTTGAGAGCTAAACAGCTATTTCTGGTTCTGATGAACAGGGTGGAAAAATAGTTTGGAGGTTTGAATTAAATAAGAAAGTTTACATTACTTTAGCTTAAGTTCTACCATTTGTTCTACCAGTTCCATATTGACAAAGATGTCAATGACGTCTTGGGTAATTCAACTCAGGTCGTCAGAATTCTCTCAATTGACAGAATTCTGGACTCGTGCTGGAGGGGATTCGTAACCTCTTTCTTTTTAGAAGAAGATTCCTGACCAGGTGGTTGATTTTTCTTCTTGGCTCTGTCGATTTATTAAGTAGCCTGCTTTCACTTTAATTTTGAAATTAAGTTTCGTTTATTTTAGTTTTATTTAACATAATTAAAGTTAAAATTGACTGGTACGGTTACGACTTAACTTTCCACTCCGAGGCCATCCAACAACAAGGGTAAGATTTCTCAGTTTTCTTAGTTTCTTTATGCTCCCTTCCTAAAACCATCCTTACTCAGAAAATGTAACTATTAACATTAATTGTCCTAACTTACCCCTTGTATGATTTGTATCAGAAATCCTTTCTTATACTTGATTCACTTTAGGCCTGCTCATACTGCTCATACTGCTCATATTGCTCATAACTGCTCACACGTGCTCATAACCACTTACATGTGCTCATAACTGCTTACACGTCCCTATAACTGATTACACGTATCTCTATTGACTTCCATCTACCTCTATCTGCCTCTATCTGTGGTACAACAAGTGGTTTCATTAAGCCTCAACATCTGCTTGAATAAGCGAAAGGAACCACCCTCTAGGTACCACTCTAGAAGCCCATTTGCGAGAATCGACAAAGTTAAAAGATCTCCAACCCTCTTAGCTTTCAGTACCCTCTGGTTTCTTGTTGATTTCCCATTGGTTCTCAAGTTTATTCAACCTTCCTCATTCAAACTGCTCCACCCTGTGATCCAGTTTGATGGCTTTCCAACAGAGTTCACTAGTTACATAACTAGTAACCCTTGATAATTATATTGTTTTACAATTTAATATTGTATCTTAAAAATCCAGCTCATGTAATTATTGCTTCGCTACATACACACATGCTTCCAATAAACATAAATCTTTCCAGCGGTATCAGTAATCTGACATCTGTGGGTATTCAGAAGATTATCCTTGACTTTGAATAAAATATTACAACCACATAAGATCTAGTTCAGTCAACAGAACATAAATTTTGTCTATATATTTGTCAATTTTGGGTTACAGCAATAATAATCTTGAAGCTATAAAATTCGATAATTTTCTGGGTTTTAAGTGATTTTTACCCTCGAACAGATTAGGTCGTTCGCAGAACTTTATGTGTTTGTAAATTTCATTAAGCTCACATTTCAACAATCTATAAAAATATCTAAAAAATAAAACATTCGAGTTATTGATATTTATGCAATAAAGTTTCACAGTTAATTATAAAGTCAAAAGTTTTTCTAGTAAAAATCACTCAAGTATTTAGGCATTAAAAGTCATTGTTAATTCACTTCTCATCATTCAGAATCATTGATAAGAGTCAGAAAGTTTTACTAGTCAAAATCACTCAAGTTTTTAGGCATTAAAATTCAAAGTTTAATCACACAAAGTCATGTTCATCATTTATATTAAAAATAAATCTTGTCACTATAGAGTACTCACATTTTGTCCATAAAACACAAAACTAATCTAAATTAATTCTTTTGATTACTTAATTTAATTTACGCACATAATTGTTGAACGAATTTCAAATGTTAATTCTTTCGCCATTTTTCGTACTTTTACTAACTTAAATTAAACCCGAGGCCATACGCCAAAAAGAAACTTTTCGCGAAACCGGGCAGACTTTAACTCAAACTGGACTGGACTGTTAACAACTGGCAACTCAACTGACAACTAACACAACTGCCTTCCTCTTCTAAAACCGCTGTATTTATATTAAATCGATCCCCCCAATTTTATCTGTCCATGACAATTAAGATGATGCAATTTCCTTGAGATTTTTATCATCTAAAAAATCGAATAATTATGTCGCAATATCCTAATTTATCGAGGTCAAAACATTATTGGTTCACGAAAGATGAACTTGAACTGAGAATATGAATTAGCTATTGATTTTGTTACAGTCATATGTTGCTTGTCAAAATCACGTGTTTTGGATAGGCTATTCTTGGGATAGGCTGATAGACTATCCAAGATGCTGTACTCAATGATACTGTCAAACTTAAATTGAAATGTCTGCCAAGAGGCACACAAACCTTTTGTTTGCTTGTCAAAGTCATGTGTTTTAGATAGGCTAATAGGAGGGGCAGTGTTTGCTTACAATTTAGGTTATTTAATGTCATTGTGATGTCATTTACTGCCGCATGGATTTGGAAATGGTATAGTGAAATAGTTATGAATAATAAATTTTAAAAAATGTAATTTTTATTTATTAACAGCTAAAACCCTTACAAATTGAAGCCTACTACAGCTTCGGGCGAAAATGTCATTGAACCGTGGTCCTTATTGTTTAGATTTTGTATTCAATATTTCAGCATTTTGTAACAATCTCCTATTGATTGATTGAATAATTTGAAAAGGGAGCTTTTACAGGCGCATGTCTGGTATCTCGCAGTTTGGGGGACCTTGTTGAAGTTCCTTGACTATTTGAGGCTTCTTTGATTCACAAAATCCGTGTAGCCTTATACTTACATACTTTCCTCTTACATGAATATCGTTTTTGTTTCAGATCAACAAGAAATAACGCCGTCGAGACGTCAGACCAACACCACTGAGCTTGACAACACGAAAACTTGGCTGGCGGTGTCAGTTTTAGAATTGACAATATCCAAAGAGAATCATGGCAGGATGCTGAGTTGTGTAGCTGTGCACGAATCGTACTCTACTAAATCTAGCAGCATCGAAGTCAGATTGGATGTAATGTGTAAGTGTTTTTAATTTCTAATATAAGGACATTGAAGTTCAAATATCATGCACAATATCGGTTAGATTGTGGCCACTAAAACGTAAAAATAAAATAGACAGATATTTATCGCAACCTGTGGGACTAATAATTAAGCCCGAGTAAATTCCCAAATGACACATTCATAGAGTTATTTATGCTTTCGAGCGAATAAATCACGAAGCTCAAATCTTGCGGGAAATGCTCTATACGTATACATAGCGAGGTTGCAATTTTCAATTTTAAATCATCGGCAAATGTTAATTGAAAATTATTCGGGAAATTTCCTATTTCCGCGTAAAACAACGGCTGGTGGTTTTAAGCGATCAAATAATTGGTTTTTGACTATGGAAAAGTATACAGCGAGAAAACCGTAATTCAAATTTTGATGAAAATAGTTGGGCAATCGCAAATGGTCTGGTAATGAAAAACAGTCGGGGCAGAAAAATCTTGCCCGATTAATCTGGATCAGTTACCGAATGTGTAGGTATGTCATCAATTTTTAAATCAAAATGTTTGCAATTAAAATTTATCTTGTGCAAATCCCATTTCTGCAAGCCAAAGTGAATTTTATCTTATTTAATATTCCATTAAAAATCTTCAAAAAGTTAAATACAAGATTTGAAAATCTGATTCTCCGTTTTATACTGTTGGCGCAATGGAAGTTTCAACTTCTAGACTTTATTACATTAAGAAGTGCAATTAATACGATGACTTGTCCAGAAATGAAAGCTGAAATTACATTTCATAATATTTGGATAATAAGATAATTAGGAGCCAAGGAACATACATAAGTTATTCTCAATTTGAAACATCCTGAAAACCTAAACTTTAACGTTTCTTTTATGCTTGGGATTATACGAACAACTTGGTTTAATAATAAATCTTCTCGTCGTTCGAAAATATGACCATGGCCGTAAAAATTCTTACAGCAACGCCGGAAGATTAAAAATCTCCACCGGGGACGTAAATATTCTTTCCAACTTTGTTTGGTTCATTAAATTCCAGTTTATATACGCAAGTGGAAATTAGTTTTACACACTCGCTATGTAATATTTAGTTTCAGTCACCGAGCAAAGTAAATAATCCAAATTGTTCTTTCATAGTAGAGTTGCTTAGTTTTTCTCACAAACAAAACTTTAACGAGTTTTAAAAGAAAAGTTTCCGTTTCCCTTTTAAAAAATCCTTAAAATGTAAATTATTTGAAAACTTTAGTTACGAATATATAAAAGAAAACTTTGCAAAAAAAAAATATTCCAGCTGCTGTTGAATATTTGTTAAAGAAATAATTTCTCAAAAAATCAATGTTAGATTTATTTATTGTGCTATTACTGCTATTGTATGGTAGAGAAGGCTTTTGGCGGGCATTCAGTGGTTCAACCTCTATCTGGTTTGGATCGAGAGATAATTGTCCATATAACAGTTAACAGTTATAGGTGATTCGTTTGTGAACTATTGTTTTAGGCATTAAAATTCAAAGTTCAATCACACAAAGTCATGTTCATCATTTATATTCAAAATAAATCTTGTCACTATAGAGTACTTACATTTTGTCCATAGAACACAAAACTAATTTAATTTAATTATTTTGATTACTTAGAGCCCGCACATAATTATTGAACGAATTTCAAATGTTATTACTCTCCAAATTTTCCGTACTTTTTCCAAGTTAAATCTAACGCGTTTTCCGAGGCAGTTTCGCGAATTTTCAACCAAACAAACTCATTTGGTTCTGTAGACTTTTACTCAAACTGGACTGGACTGCGCACTCATCTCTCAACTGAAAACTCAACTGATAACTGGCAACTAACAACTACTTCTAAAACCGCGGTATTTATATTAAATCGATCCTCCCGCAAAGTATTATTAATTATCTCCCAATTCGTCAACAGGCGGTCGTTTGCCTAGCAATCCGACAATTTCATTGGCCGACTTAATTATTATTAAAATTAATGATGCAATTTCCTTAGTTAAAAAATCGAATAATTATGTCGCAATTTCCTAATTTATCGAGGCCAATATATTTTCTCGGTTCGAGACTACCATAAATCATTTATAATTACTTGGCCTCGCTCTTATAAGTTCATTGATTTGGGTGATGACACTGGGCTTGATGACGAAACACCTAATATAATATTAAACGTTAATTTGTTCCCTTTTCAATTTATTGATACTGATTTGGAGATACCGGAAATTCTGTTTTTGATTATTTGAGATTTATTGAATTTTTACAGTAAAGACATTGTGATTTATGGTTCTATTTTCTTGAAATATTACAGAAGCTCATAAATAGCAACTCAGAGCAAGTACAAATGAACAACCTTTTAAAAACTCCAAACAGTGTGGCCAGCTTGTAGGGTTATGTTATAGGCTCCTTTTTACTCATAATTAAATCTTAAATAAATACCATAACTCTGAACTCTTGCACCTTTCTGCAAAAAAGCTACAAACAAGATTCTTAGTTGTTCCAGAAACTCGTCTCGTTGGTATCCCGACCACCGACATAGAAGACCTAAAAGACTCGATAGCGATTCGATGTGTCGTGAGCGCCAATCCAAAAGCTTCTGTAGTATGGAGAAGAGAAGGCCAAAGTCAACCGGCAAGCCTACAGGAGCTTTTGCAATTCAGTCCGGCCATCAGGCAACATTCCGGATTGTACACTTGCCATGCCAGGAATAAGGCTGGAGATTCTGTACCGATACGCGTCCAGATTGATGTCAAATGTAAGTAGAATTATGTAAACATTTTTTTTTCGATGGAACAATTCAATGGCAAAGTCTTGTCATAAGCGATGTTAATGAGTAAAAAAACTTTGTATTTTGTACAAAATTGCTATAATTAATATCAGTGCAAAGCGCTTTCGGCTGTAGTTATCTTCAGTGCAACCTGAAAGTATGGAAAAATTACTTTCTTAAGTGTCAAATTGACTTAAGAAACGAAAGTGACGAATAAGGGTCAGCTCGGCATCTGCAATTTTTTGGATCCTTCGGTTATTTGGTTTTGGGAAAATTAGAATTTCCCACACTCTTGGGCGGCTATAACCTTATTTTCACTTGTCATTGTCATTCATTTCGTAGCCACAAAATCAGCATGTTCTTTTAGAACAAAATAAATTATTTCTAACGAGATTATTAAAAAACTATCAAAGAAACCTGTTGCATAATGGTATATTTAATTTTAGAAGAATGGCTTAAGTCAAGTTGACGCTTGTGAAAGTAATTTTTCCATACTTTCAGGTTGCACTGAAGATGGCTACGGCCGAAAGCGCTTTGCACTAATATTAATTATAGAAATTTTGCACGAAATACAAAATTTTTCTACTCATTAACTTCCTCAACGTGCACACAGCCTTACACTACAATAAACGATTTTCACTTTTACAACGGTTTCATGTCGCGTGTTAAAACGTTTTAAAATGCAATATGTATAAGTTTCCTGTATGTGCTTTAAATTTAAATTGTTTTCTTTGAGGAATTTTTCATGAGACATTATTTTTCAAGTTTCAGTACAAATGAAAGGAAATAATGATAAGTAAAACGAGATTGAGAGAGTAATAATTATTATACTTTGAGTTGTTTAGATATAGACTGATTTGGGAAAAGAGTTTCAAAATCGCAACTTTATTTTATGGGGTATTCCAATAGGAATTTTCGGATTTTTTTTTTAATTCAAGCGGCAAAGAAACTAGGAAACATTCAATTCTTTGAAATTATACGTGAAACGCAATATTCAACGAATTGCCACCGTGACATCTCTCACAACACACAATTCTTTTACCAAAATTTTTGATCACATCTGTGCACATTTCCGGTGGTATCTCATGCATAATACGCCGAATTTCATCTTCCAACTCTTGAATTGTTCAGGAATTGTTCACATACGCTTTACTTTTGATATAATGCCACAAAAAAAGTCTAGTGGCGTTAGATCGCAAGATCTGGGCAACCAATTAACACCCCCATTTCTTGAAACAAATTTACCTTCAAACCGTGTTTACTATGAATCAATGGGTTTATCTTGCTGTGTGAAATCTTGCGCCGCTTATATCAAAAGTAAAGTGTATGAGAACAATTCTCAAACAATAGTTCAAGAGTTGAAAGATGTGATTTGGCGCATTACTCGTAAGATACTGTGCTGTGAATGTGAGAGAAGTCGCGGTGGCCATTCGTTAGATATTTTGTTTCACGTATAATTGTGAACGATCATGTTACCTACTGCTATAAATGCTAGTTTGCTTTACGTTGGAATTGAAAAAATAGTCTGGAAACTCTTATTGGAACACCCTATACAAATATTGTCGAATATGGCAATATTTGTATGCAATCATTCTAGTGATAACGATCGGTTCCGATAACTGGAGCTGGAATTCTAATTGAAAACTGGACTATTTTTTACCAGCCGATAATAATCCAAATTTTTACTATTACCGGCTTTTGATTGGTTTGGAAAATGCACTCAGACAATTTTGCTTTCTCCCATTACCCGCGGAATTCGTCAATGCTATTTTTTCCCGGCACCTATAAATCCAAATGAGCTAAAATTTTCAAGGATTGTAGTCCGCCACTCGTATAGTAATCGCTGGAAATTTCAGCTTTTTATCTCTGATAGAAAAAAAATTATGACCTTTCAAAGTTTTGCAAAATCTAAATCATAAGGTAAGCTACCTTCTTACTAAAACGATGAAATTTCAATTTTTTTTTTTTTGTGGGGATTTCGTGTCCTCATGGTCATTTGAGTGCCTCTAAACTCCATAAATCGGCAATAATGGATTTATCAGTTTTTCAATTTTGTACTGCACGTTGGGCATCGGAAGTAAAAAGATGATTGCCACGAGGATAATCTTCATTTTTCTAAAAATTATAAACGTCTTTCAAGTTTGTGTGTCAATTTTAAGCTAATAACTGTGTAGTAGCTTCAGGGATCTCTGGATCATTTTTCTCGTTTTTCGTTTTGTTTACTTAAAACGTTGGCTTTCTTTGCATTAAGTTTTAAGTGGATAGTTTCATTAAGTTGCTTAAAAGTTTCTGCTAATTCGTATTATCCGTTCACAATCCGATGTCCACAGGTAGGTACAGGTAAAATCACCTTTCAATGCTATTTGATAGGGAAAGGTGATAAATTTACCTGCACCTGTGGACATCGGATTGTGAACAGGATATATACATATATATAATCCGTTTGTATTTGATTCAAGTTTTTCTCGAAATTTAATTGATAGTTGAGGTTACCTTGCAGTATTTGAAATGGTGTATAATCATGAGAAGAATTTAATATAACAATATCAATCAATTCTTGGATAGTCTTGGAACGATGTTTATTCCTAAGAGCTACAAGGCTTTCCTTTAATGTTGAATGGAATCTTTCAATTGGTGAATTTTAATTAGGGTTGTAAGGTGTAACAAAATGTAACTCAATCTTGTAAGTTTTACAAAGATCTTGGATCAAATTACTTTTAAATGCTCGATCATTATCCGTAGTTCCATGGTGTGAGAAGAATTTAATCAAGTTTTGACAAATCTCAATCGCGTTTTCGTTAATAGGATATGCAGTTGCAAATTTTGAGAAATTATCCATTATTGTTAAATATTTTTGACCAGATACTGAGTATGTATGTATATAAATGTGCTCAAAAGGTTTTGAACCTGTTGGGGAAGGCTTATTATAACCTTGTAAGGTGATCTATTTTCTTTAGATGGTTTAAGTGATTCGTTTTTATTTACAAAAATTACCTTTTTACCATCAGGTTTGATTTGAATGTCTGACATTATTTTAATTTTTGAGCTTTTCTTAGCTTTTTCCATTTTCTTTGGTGGGTCGAACAAGTCTTCTTGTGTATCAAAGAAATGCTTGACTTTTTCTCTCCATGAATATTGGTCTTCGTCTTCTTTTTGAATATCACTCTAAGTTTCACATACAGCTATATGTGATGATGGTGATTTAATTATACTAATAGGAAGTGTATCTAAGGGTGGACGCGAAAGAGCATCAGCATTAGAATTTTTTGTTCCTTTTTTATATTGAATAGTATAATTATATTCTTGGAGTTTTAGACTTTATCGGACTAACTTTTACTGAAAAGAGCCATTGAAGTGGTTTGTGATCATTTACGATAGTGAATTTTTGACCAAATAAGTAGGATCGAAAGTACTTTGTCGCCCATACAATTGCGAGAAGTTCTTTTTCTATAGTAGAATAATTACATTCTGCTTGATTGAGGGTTGAGGGTTCTACTTGCATCAGCTAAAGGTAGATCATTTCTAATAGGGCCTTGAGAAAGAACTGCTTCTATTGCGTAGTTTGAAGCATCTGTTGTAAGGACAAATGATTTCGAAAAGTGAGGATATTTTAATATTGGGTCATTCATTAAAGTATTCTTATAAAGATTAAATGCATCGACAAATTGTTTGTCATGAATTATCTCAACCTTTTTTCTTTAAAAGATTATTCTTAAAAAATAAGTAAAAATTTTGTCAGACTGCAAATGCTATGAAAGTTGCTTCAAATGTGTGTGAAGCCACTCTGGACACTTTTTAGCCAATTTTTGAACAATCTACAAAGTTTTGGTATTTGTAAAACTGACTTTGAATTTCTTGAAAAGTGATTCAGACACTTAACTTCAAAAATTCCTTGAAAGATTCTTAGAAAATAAGTAAAAATTTTGTCAGACTGACTTCAAATGCTTTGAAAGTTGCTTCAAATGTGTGTGAAGCCACTCTGGACACTTTTTAGCCAATTTTTGAACAATCTACAAAGTTTTGGTATTTGTAAAACTGACTTTGAATTTTTTGAAAAGTGATTCAGACACTTTGGAAATTACTTTGAGTTCATTAGAGACAGTATTTGAATAATTTGAACAGTTCAGATTTTGTGAGAGTTACATTAGATTCTTGTGAAAGCTGCTTCGGAAACTTCAAAATTCCCTTAAACATTGACTTGAAGGTTTGATAATTTCAGCAAAGTTTTTGATGAATTTCCTGTAGTATCCTACAAGTCTGAGAAAAGATTTTATTTCTTTTGGTGTTTTTGGAATTTTAAATTTCTTTATTGCTTCTACTTTCTTTTCATTTGGTTTTATACCATCTGAGGTTATTGTATGTCCAAGGAATTCAACAGTTTTGTGGAGAAATTCACATTTATCTAGTCGAATTTTCAAATTGAATTGATTAAGTCGTTCAAATACTAAGACTTGTCGTAAAGAATCAAGGTGTTGTTGAAGTGATGTTGAGTACCTATATGATTATTTCGTCCATATAAACTGAACATATTTTACCAAGTAATTCTTTTAATACGTTTTTGATAGCTCTTTGAAACGTGGAGGGGGCATTTTTCAAACCGAAGGGCATTCGTAAGAACTTGTAATGTCCATACTCTACATTAAGCGCTGTATTTAGTATGCTTTTAGGATCCATTTTTATCTAGTGAAATCCGCTTGCTAAATCTAATGTTGTAAAATATTGCGATCTTCCAAGTTTATCTAATATATCCGCTATATTAGGTAATGAATACCTGTCATCTATGGTTTTCTCGTTTATTTTACGATAATCTATAACGAGTCTCCAACAATCCAAACAGGTGAGCTCCAGGGTAAACTCGAAGCTTGTATATGATTTTATCTTGTAACATTTGGTTTTTTACTTCCTCTTTATGAACATAAGGGTATCTACAGGGTGTATCAGGTTTGACTACAAAAATTTTAACACGTGAAAATATGACCCATTTTGAACAAAAAAAGTTTATACAACATGAGCTCCAAACTCAACCATTTTTGAGAAAAAGGCTTTTGAAGTTTTGACATTTTTTAACAAATATTTTAAAGGTAAAGAAAATGTTAATCATTATGAGATGTAGAAAAATTTAGTTTATTCAATTATTAAGTAATTATGCATTTTTAGTCAATTGGAAAAACAACTTACAAATTTCACTTGTAAAAGGGTTTCGAAACATCTGGCAACACAGCACAATAAAGAATAGGTGGTTGAAGGTTGAACCTTGGTGGAGCTGAATAAATTGATTCTTGATTTGGTCTAGTTAGGAAACGCGCGTAATTCAAATTCATTATTTTTTGAAAATAAAATGTTTAAAAACATCGAATATGCAAATACTTGTTTAGACAGAAGTGTTGCAAAATGTTCATTTAGTCGCCAAAATTTACAAGGAAACTAGGGAAAGATTTCCCAAAAGAAAACCACCCACCTGGTGGAAGAACATTGTGCCCGTTTTACAAAGATTGCGTGATAAAGGAAGTATTAGTTGTGAGTGTGCAAAATCTGCGTGTTGATTTTAGTGTTATGAGAACCTGATAACAACATATAAAAATATAAAAATTCTTGTTTCATTTGACATTATTAAAATATCAACATCGGAAACTCAAAAGGACCCCGCAATATTTAAATGAAAATTGGTTACCCGTGATATTTGGATAAAATTTAAATATGTTATTGGGGATGCCGTAAGCAACATTTTTCACCATGGGCACAACCCTGTATGTATGACAGGTGAGGCGTGGTTAGCTGTCAAATATTGGAATCTTATATCCAAAAGAAGAGTGACTATGGCAGATTTTGATGAACGAAGTATCAATGTCTACTAAGTCGACCAAGCTAAGTCGAAAAATGTCAACCATTTTGACACCTGTCAAAACCCTGCCAAACGGCAGCACTCATCTTTTCCCGTTTTCAATATTTTATGATGTCATTTGACATTTTTAACTTGTATGTAAATTCTGAATTCAAAAATTGAAAAAAAAATTACAGAACTGTCAAAACCTTCATTTGTTTTAGTAGAAAAAAATACTCTAATCTGGTTCTTTTTTGTTTTAAGGTAGTTTAGCGGTGATAAAACATTAAAGTTCATGCATGTCACATTTTGACAACTGTCAGAATCTGTTAATAGATTTTTGGTTCATATTGAGTTTGTTTGCTTAGTGAAGGTTTAGTTCTATTGTATTATTGTATTTTTCTATCATTGTAGTTGTAGAACTTCATTAAGCAAACAAACTCAATATGAACCAAAAAGCAAAAACAGATTCTGACAGTTGTCAAAATGTGACATGCATGCATGTTTTATCACCAATAAACTACCTTGAAACAAAAAAGAATCAGATTGGAGTATTTTTTTCTACTAAAACAAATGACAGGTTTTGACAGTTCTGTCATTTTTTTTTTCAATTTTTGAATTTAGAATTTACATACAAGTTAAAAGTGTCAAATGACATCATGAAATATTGAAAACTGGAAAAGATGAGTGCCGCCGTTCGACAGGGTTTTAGCAGGTGTCAAAATGGTTAACATTTTTCGACTTAACTTGGTCGACTTAGTAGAAATAGATTTTTTGTTAATCAAAATCTGCCATAGTTACTGTGCTTTTGGATATAAGATTCCAATATTTGACAGCTAACAACGCCTCACCTGTCATATATACAGGGTTGTGCCCATGATAAAAAATGTTGCTTACGGCATCCCCAATAACATATTTAAATTTCATCCAAATATCACGGGTAACCAATTTCCATTTAAATATTGCGGGGTCCTTTAAAGTATCACTCACATTTATGTATATCCTGTTCACAATCCGATGTCCACAGGTGCAGGTAAATTTATCATCTTTCCCTATCAAATAACATTGAAAGGTAATAAATTGTACCTGCACCTGTGGACATCGGATTGTGAACGGATAATATTATGTAATAGCAAAAAATAGGTAAAGGAATCACAAAAGAAGATAATTATTGACTATATAGGTTGTCTGGACTAACTTGAAATGGGAATCCATGGGGATTTTGGAAACTATTCAAGATACAGGGTGGACCAAATGGGGGAAAAGTCACGTAATTGAGTGCCTACAAATAATCTCTGTCATCAACTTCTTTGAGCTCGGAATAGCAACGGATATGGTATACCTACATACATACAGGGGCGAAAATGAAAAAAGTGTGTATCATGTATTTTGTAATTCAAATTTCCCCATGTACTTTAAGTTATTCCGGACAACCTTAGAGTAATTTCCTCGATAGCACGACCACTGAGAAAACCCGAAATCAGCTGTATTACGAACAACAAATCTGTCCTATATTTGCCTGAATAACTTGCAAGTGTTCCATTTTCAAATGTGTTTTGGAAAAGATGGGCCTCATCATATTCTTCCTCACCAGGCATTTTTAGTTTCTATCTTCTTCTGGGTTGTTAGTACCCTATCAGTATCTAAATAATTTTATTTTTAAATGACAAAATCGTTTAATTTTCTCTTTAGATCGTCCCAAAGTAATCAGTGTTGGCCGAGAACGCGTCAAAACCTCCACCTTGTTCGCCCCAGTTAACTTCGAATGTCTAGGCGAAGGTAACCCACCTCCCACCTACCAATGGATTCAGAAGAAACGCTCAGGCAGCATCGTGGAACGTGGCACTGAGGCCAAATTGAACATCAGAAACGTCACTTACGAGTATCAAGGAGAATGGAGGTGCAAAGCTACAAATATTATTAAAGGCGAGGAACAAAGTGATGTCAGTGAGCCGATTATACTTCAAGTATATGGTGAGTGGAATTAGTTAATGCTTCCATAATTACACCCATAATTATTGTGAGACTAAAATATCACAACATCCCCTGAAAGTTTCAACTTTATACAAAATGTAAAACAAAGTTTGCTCGATCAACTTTGCAAGTATATTCTCCGAGAAAACTTTCAAAACCAGCAAATTCAAAAACTCTTACCCCACATCCTTCTGTATGTCTGGATTCTTTTGGGCATAAGTTATCTCTTCATAGGCGAAAATTATTTATGATTTCAGGTGCCCCGCAAGTTTTGCGACACACGGCAACGCCGGAAATTTTCATCGAAAGCGGACAAAGTGTAGATCTGAGCGTGGTCGTTTGCGCTGATCCCAGACCGAGATCTGTGGCCTGGGAATGGGGCTCGCTCAGATTGGAAGCTGGCAATGAGATGGGTAAGACTTTTTTAACAAAATTTACATCAATTGATCAAAAATGAGCTGCGTTTATCATGAAATATTGTGCTAATTATGGATTAATTATTTTAGGAAAATTCAAAGTAGACGAAGTAACTCAAGAAGAGGGAGAAGATTGCTACTTAACCACACTTCACGTTAAAGATACTTCGGCGACAGACTCGAGGACTTATTATTTGCTCGTGGAAAACGACAAGGGAAAAGACACGCACGCCGTTCAATTATACGTGAATGGTGAGTGGACTTTTTTTTTTCTGGGTAAAAGAGGAGTTTTACTCTTTCCAGCGGTGATTTTGTCGTTTAATTTTTCATCATTTTTAAGCCACCGCTGAAGGAGTAAAAGGTACGTTTTGAATTTGAAAACGAAAACATTTTCCACTTTATTATAAAAAACCAGACAAGTTGAGGTCTGGAAAAATTTAAAGTCATAGTGAACATTTCCATTAAAATCCTACCTGGCTGGGAAATATTTCAATTTTCCCCTACTGTAATTACTAGGAAATTGAAATTTTGGTTTATTTTTCCAGAGCCGCTACAAATGAGCACATTGGTGAGCGTAGCTGGTGCCCTTCTAGTCGGTTTCCTAGTGCTGGTTTGCATTTGCATCTACGCAATTAAAGCGGAAAAATGTTGTTTTTCAAGTAAGTAAAATATTGATAAAAATAGGGGATCGTTTTTAATATTTCCAAATTCTTATCGTAATGGGTAATATTTGAGGATCCGTTTTTTTTTTTATGCGGGAGGGCAAAAAATGGACACATAAAAGACGGTTTTCGGATAAGCGAAAAGGTCGACGAGGAAAACAGCTCCATAAACTGGAGATAATCGGTTCGGATTAGGGTTTTATTGAGTTTTAGAATAAAAAAAATCGCTCCAGGAATAATGATTTTTTTAATGAATATTGAATTGAACTTTTTAAATTTCAATATGATCTCTTTTTTTGTCCTTGTCTTTGTGTTTGTTCTCCATGTGGATATTATGGAAGCCTATCCTCATACCTTCATTTTGAAACAAAAATTTGAGTGACACATCTTCTATTTTTCAAAAAATAATTCACACATTCTTGACTTTTTTCTTGACAACAATGAAGGAGGTACAATGGGGAGTATACAAGTGATTTTTAACTACTGCGTAGCAGTGTTACAAAAGAGCAAACATTTTTTGTATCAAAATTAAAGACAAATTGTACCAGATTCAGTAAAAATGTATCAACTTATAATAGGGTGGGGGTGACCATACTTTTCTCTCAAATGTCACTTTAGAAATGACATTCCAAGATCTACTGGATTGGAACTCGAGTAAAGTTGGCTACAAAGCAGTGTTGCCACCTGAAACAAAAATTCCTAAAAAGTTGTTTTTTACTAATTTTTTTGTGTTCTTAATTTTAATTTAAAACTGAAAATTTTTGGCTGAAAATGAACTCGTACATTAAATCGGTTTTCCCGGCCTTGAAAAGCAGGAAATCCAAAGAAAAACCTCTGAAAAGGACATTCTAAAGCCTACTTGATGAAACTTGAGTTTTTGTCACTTACCCCATTGAAAAACTGGAAATTTTTGGCACAAAATAAAGAAAACTCAATGCCTCGTACTTAAAATCGGTTTTCCCGATCCAAAAAGCCCTGGAAAAGCAGAAAATCCAAAGAAAATCTTTTGAAAAGGACATTCTAAAGCCTACTTAATGAAAATTGAGTTTTTGTTACTCACCCTATTGGAAAACTGGAAATTTTGGCACAGAATGAAGGAAACTCAAAGCCTCGTACTTTAAACCATTTTTTCCGTTTTAAAACGGCCTGGAACAGCGGAAATTTCGAAGAAGAACGTGGATAAAAACACTCAAAATGGTCGACTTGCCAAATTGACAAATGACATTTATTGCAAGGTTTACATGATTGAAGTTGGCTACAAACGATGTTGCCACATCAAAACTTCCAGAAAAAGCATTTAAATGGGATTTTCCTAATTATTGCATTTGAAAATATAAATTTGTGCTAGAAAATGAAGAAAATTCAAAGCCTCGTAATTAAAATCGGTTTTCCCGACTGAAAAAGCCCTGGAAAAGCGGAAAATTTAAAAAAAAAACTCTGAAAAGGACATTCCAAAGCCTACTTGATGAAACTTGAATTTTTGTCACTTACCCCATTGAAAAACTGGAAATTTTTGGCACAAAATGAAGAAAACTCAAAGCCTCGTACTTAAAATCGGTTTTCCCGATCCAAAAAGCCCTGGAAAAGCAGAAAATCCAAAGAAAATCTTTTGAAAAGGACATTCTAAAGCCTACTTGATGAAAATTGAGTTTTTGTTACTCACCCTATTCGAAAACTGGAAATTTTTGGCACAGAATGAAGGAAACTCAAAGCCTCGTACTTTAAACCATTTTTTCCGTTTTAAAACGGCCTGGAAAAGCGGAAATTTCGAGGAAACACATGGATAAAAACACTCAAAATGGTCGATTTGCCAAATTGACAAATGACATTTATTGCAAGGTTTACATGATTGAAGTTGGCTACAAACGATGTTGCCACATCAAAACTTCCAGAAAAAGCATTTAAATGGGATTTTCCTAATTATTGCATTTAAAAATATAAATTTGTGCTAGAAAATGAAGAAAATTCAAAGCCTCGTAATTAAAATCGGTTTTCCCAACTGAAAAAGCTCTGGAAAAGCGGAAAATTCAAAAAAACAACCTCTGAAAAGGACATTCCAAAGCCTACTTGATGAAACTTAAGTTTCAGTCACTTACCCTATTGGAAAACTGGACATTTTTGGTACAAAATGGAAAAAACTCACAGCCTCATATTTAAAATTAGTTTTCCTAATTGAGGAAGCTTTGGAAAAGCGGAAAATCCAAACAAAAACCTCTAAAAAGAACATTCCAGCACCTACTTGATGAGACTTGAGTTTTTGTCACTTACCCTATTGGAAAACTGGAAATTTTTTACACAAAATGAAAAAAACTCAAAGCCTCGTACTTTAATCCAGTTTTTCCGACTTGAAACGCCCAGGAAAAATGGAAAATCCAAGGAAAAACTGGATAAAAACGTAAACACGTCACTGCAAAATGGCCGACTAAAGCGACGTTGCCGCATGACATTAATAACATTTTAAATGATTTAATTCAATTAAAACCTGATGAATAATCAAATAATAACGATTATAAAACAATAAATTTCCCAAATAAGGTCGTGGAAACTTGTTTTTAGTTTAATTTTAATGAAAAAATGTTTAATTGTTAATTATATGTGAATAAGACAAAGACAACAATAAAGTAGTATATGTTTGCAAAAACCCCAAATGGGTGAGATAAAGTAGGTAGGATGTCATTTAAAACGCAAAATTATCAAATTACGATGAAAACCAAACAAAGCAAATATTTGATAAAGTAGTACCCACTTAAATACTTAAAAAATTGATAACAAAAGTACCGTTAAACTGGTAAGGGCCGAAATCCCTTAGTCCGGAACTAAAGGCCCGCCCACACAGCGCTGGTTTAGATACAGAAATACAAATTAATTAGAACATAGCTTATGATGATGCACTTATCACTTCTTTCACAGTCTTGGAATTCAAAACAATCAACGACGATGCACTCAACAAATTAATTCAGATGACAAGATAACATTTGCATTATGATGTTAAATTGACACCTGCGTTTTTATGACTGGTTTTTATATACACGATTCTATGTCAGTCATTGTCATTTTCTATTCACTAAACAAAGATAGCTAACCCATCGGTGAAATCAGAGATTCAAAAAATAAGAACGAGGGAGACATTGAGAAACGGCGATATGGGCGCACAACGGTGTAGTCACGAACTAAAACAAAAAGTGGAGGAGATGAATCCAATGAATGTTCTATTTAAGAATTTATAAATTACTTTTCTATGTCACTAACGGAAAAAGAAATGCAAAAGTTATCATTCAATAATTTCACCTTTTCAAACGTGACACTTTTGAACCGCCCTAAAAAACGAAGCATTTCAGCTAACTCATAGTTAACTCATCCGCATCCTTGGGTTAATTCAACTACTGGTTAACTAAAGGTGTCACGTTGAACCGTCTGTTATGAAATGCTGTTTTCGTTTTAACTAGTAGTTATCTCATAACTAGTAGTTTACTACACTTTGTGAAACTGGGCCTGAAAAGGACATTCCAAAGCCTACTTGATAAAACTTAAGTTTTAGTCACTTACCCTATTGGAAAACTGGAAATTTTTGGTACAAAATGGAAAAAACTCACAGCCTCATATTTAAAATCGGTTTTCCTAATTGGAGAAGCTTTGGAAAAGCGGAAAATCCAAACAAAAATCTCTGAAAAGAACATTCCAGCACCTACTTGATAAGACTTGAGTTTTTGTCACTTACCCTATTGAAAAACTGGAAATTTTTTACACAAAATGAAAAAAACTCAAAGTCTCGTACTTTAATCCAGTTTTTCCGACTTAAAACGCCCTGGAAAAATGGAAAATCCAAGGAAAAACTGGATAAAAACGTAAACACGTCACTGCAAAATGGCCGACTAAAGCGACGTTGCCGCATGACATTAATAACATTTTAAATGATTTAATTTAATTAAAATTCTAGTTTTATTGAAGTCACAAGATACTTTGTAGCAAGAAGGCTTTAATAGGTCAAATCTAGTTCTTGGTCTGTTTTTTAGGGCCAAATTATGGACTGACTAGTAGACGCCTGGTTGTTACCTAGCAGGTACTTTCTATGCACTAGAGAATAGAAAGTACCTGCTAGGTAACAACCAGACACTTACCAGTTGGTCCATAATTTGGCCCTTAATATGCTTTCTGCAGGAGAAATGTCTGTTACCGTCGTTGGGGTGCTTCTATAAGTAAAAAAGAAAACTGGATAATTTTGATAAAATTAGACTTCTTTCCTAATAGTTTGTACTCCTCTCTCTGCAATACCATTGCTTTGAGGGTGGTATATGGTGGAGATTTTACAGGATTTATTCCATTTGCCTGGCAGAAACGAATAAGTTCTATGGAATTAAAAGGAAGGCCGTTATCTGAAACTAAATAGTTCCACAGGCAAACCAAATACTGAAAAAAAATCCTTTAACTCAGCTATCAGTTCATTGCAGCTTGTACCATGTTTCATAATCTGTATTTCAATCCATTTGGATTTTTGGTCTACAGTTATCAGAAAAACAAACTTGAATTTAAAAAAAATCTACATGTACCCTATAAAAGTTATGAGGAACATTTGGCGAAGGTAATAAAATAGGAGAACTTGTGAAATTTCTATATTGCTGACACACTTCATTACTATCTTCGACTTTGAACTCTGCTTGACGCGACTGACACTTGACTGACCGTTCATGGACTGACTGTTCTCAACTGACACTTTTGACCGTTCTTGACTGATACTTCTTTTGAACCGACACTGCTATTTTTATCACAATTCAGGCTTTTTATATAAAAATTGTCTCCTTCCTTCCTTTGTTCTTTCGGCCTAATTTCTCCCCTAATTTTATGACATCAAGATTTCGTCATCTCGGCCCCCTTTTTAGTGGAATGCGGTACCGTTTCTTTGTCGGCATACAGCACACGCGTGATTTATGGTGCTTTCCCGGAATTTGGGTTCAGTAACAGATTGCGTCATGTTAGTAAGGTGCCGCGTTTCAGGGATACATTCCAATTGAATCGTCTATTTTTGAGTGGCGCCGCACTTATCGGATTTTTGAGAAGGGATTTCAGTTTCTGTTGCTTCTTTATTCGATGATCAGATCATTTTTACTAAAAGTTCCGGCTGTAACTGGTTGAGTGTTGTTGTCTCCTGGGGTGTTTAATTTTCGATAAGTTGTAGTTGATTTTGATTTAATTTTTCCAGTTTGATTTATGTTTTGTTTGTTGTTCGTTTCATTTTTCAACAAAATAACCAGATCTATTAACAATTATTTTATTTTTGGCGTCAATAATTCAATAATTTAAGTCAATAAAAGTTTCAATTAGGTACCGGCCCTGTTCTTGTGCTAAAATTTCAATTACACACCTACATTCAATCAACACTACCTATATTCAATGCTGAAGTTTTTTTTGTTAGTTAGCCAATTTCCCAGCAGGTACTGAGGTCCCATACGGGAAGCTACTCACCTTGAGCCAATATCTCTAGATTGATTATTTGAATTTGCTAGGATATTCTCTCGTCAGGGTAGGAAAATGTTAGTAAATTCAACAAGGCCCTAATGCACGCTCTAAATCCACAAATCAAAATCCCAGCACAAAAAAACAGCACATAATTTCTTAGATTTTAATTTACTTCTTTATTTGTGTTGTTTATAGTACATACATTAACAATGCACATGTTATAAAAAATGTTATAAACAAACAAAAAATATATAAAAATGAACAAAATTATAGGAACTTGTATAAATTGAACTCTCAAAAACAAAATAACATTTAATCCACTAACCTGTGAACGCTCCTTACACCCACACTAATAACAAATTGGATTGAATAATTAATTTTAATGCAAAATAGAAATGAAAATTGAATAATGAATAATTACAGACGCGCGACACGTTTTCTAAGGGACCAGTCCAGCTCGTTCTGTAGTCTAGTTGCGTATTCTCTTGTATCCTCTTCGGTTTCGGTACCTTTGCTAAACTTGAGGGGGCATACATGGTTGTACCATTTACTTTTATTCAGTAAACGCTTTTTTAAAAAGTTAAGATTTGAAGAAATAATATTTCAAATAGGTGGTTTTCCTTACACAATAAGTTTTACTTAAAAAAAAAAAAAAAATCGTACCGTTCTCATCCTGGAACTAACTAACAAGGGGAAAGAGCACGGCAGAGAAACCCTCGATCTAACATTCCTCAAAAATCGAAACATACTGTGTCATTTTAATAATAATTTTAAGTCAATAATTCAATAATACACAGCCCATAGCAATCCCATACGCCAACCAGACACTTTTGTATTGCCAACTCATTCATTATTTCTAATAATTATTGCTATTTAAAACATAAATACATAACAGTTTTCTAAAAAAATTATAAAATGTAGAAGGAAGCAACTACTATTGTATTGTTTTTATTTTTGCAGGAAAAGGAGACTTCAAACCGTCTGACATTGATGGGTAAGTACAAAAGTTCAAACGTTTGTTACATTTTGAAAACTATTTCGGGATTTAATGGATTGTGAAAAGCTCTCAAATATTTTTGATGGTATTTTTATTATTGACTCGATGTTTTCTTGGAATAATCTTTAATGAAGAAAAAACCAGGTTATTTATAAAATAATGACTCAAGGTCCAAGATCTGAATAGAAACACCAGAGATTTCAGAATCTAAAGATTTTCCATAGATGTAATGAAAAACCAGAAAAATATAACTTTAGACCTTGAAAATCTCCTCAACCAAAACCAAGATTTTTGTATCTCAGGATTTAGAAGTTCTAAAACTCAATTTCTCTTTTCTTCTGGATTCTATATCCTGTATAAGTCTTACAGAATTTAAGCATCTAAGAGTTTTCCATAATCTTCATCAAAATGATCTACAAAATTGTATAGACACTTTTGGAATCTTTTTAAATAACTGCAACAGATTTTTAAAATTTAAAACCTAATAGCGTTTCACCTATACAAACGAAATTTCCATTGAAAATATCGAATGCCCGTTACTTTACGCCTGCCGAGAAAAGCTATTTTTAAAGCCCTCACTAAAATCACTACGGAGGTGTTTTACAATAGAAATTTATTGATTTCGGCTTTACATCTCATTTCTTAGTCAAAAGAATGCATACATTTGAACTGTCCGTTTATAAAGTCAGCATTATAATCAAATTCTAAAATTATCTTGACTTTTTGACTTTAAAATCTAACTTAGCAGTATTTATCTTCATATGGTAAAATATTTGAATTGTAATCAGATTGAGGAGTTTACATCAACTTTTAGAAGTCAAGAATTAATTTTGTTAGAAATATTTATTTATTCAAAGCCAAGCGTCGAATCTTGAATCTGGAGCGTACATTTTATCTCAATCGCAACATCGAAGCGAACGACTTCTACCTACTTAGTCCAAGCTATAAAAACACAGACATTTTAAAGTAGAATCCAATTCTACTCTAAAATGCTTTATACCTGAAATTTGATGTTTTGTTTCATCTTGAATTAAAACCAGTTTAACTCTGAATTCGTAATTATGTAAGAGGAGTTCGGAGTAAATTTGTCTTCTAGGTTAATGTGTGACGTAAACAACACCTTATTGCACGTATCGGCAACTGCATGTGCCTCCTCGGGTGTTGTTTACGATTTTCTAGAGAATTTATAGAGTCTCGTAAAGAGTGTTCCAAATATAGGGAGATTTGTGTGTTTTTAACTATGCGGCTATGAGTTAATGAACTCTTCTATTTGCAGAATGAGACTCATCTTACAAGTAACCTAAACTATAGAGTTTGAAAGAAGTTTTGTCCTAATTTACTCATAATTTTTAGGGCTATGATACAAGTTTATCTTCATTTGTATACATACAGTGTAAAAAATTCAATTTACTCATTTATATGCAAAATTGTCCTCTTAGGACCAATTTGGCTTTGCAATACACTTGTATTTTTTTACATATACTAGCGAATACATTATAAACTTGCAACTAGAAAGGATAATTTCAATTCCTAAACTTTGAGGCAACTCTAGTTAAATTCACATATTAGGCAACCATGCTTATATGCATATTATATCCGTCATCTGGACCGGATGGCAAACTTATTATTAGAAATTTGCGAAATGCAAATTTGCTTAATTACCGTTATAATGTTCCAGAAAAAATCTGGACATTGAAAAAACAGCCCATCATCAGTTGACTATCAACCAAAGTCAGCACCCAGCTTCGGTTGGTGGAATCCCCGCCGATGCCATTTATACAACGGGTCCTAGAGGCGGTACTCATCCGGACGCCATGAAGGTACGTCTGGCTGCAATGGTTCTTCAACCGCCCACTAGAGTGTAGCACTGCACGATGTTGCTCAAGGAACCGTCCAGGAGTAGAGCGGAATACGAATTGAGTAGTGGTACCACTCTTGGACGGTTCCGGGGCAAAAATGCAACCGTTATCGAGTACCGATGCTAACTGGATTTGGGCGATAGCGACATTGATTCTGAATCAATAATTAATATGAAAAATTAATTTTTCCCATTAAGAGTCAGAAAAACAGTTAGCAAAGGTTTGTTTTTTTTTTTTGCACCAAATTAATCGCGCAATCGATGTTTTTGTAAAATAGTTTTTGTTTGTGTTTGTTTTGTGTTGCTTGAAAGGGAAGATTTTGGACGAGTTTGTTTGTGTACGTCCCAAAATATGCTTGAGAATCTTGAGTTGGACACAGGCAAATTTGTCAAGTCAAAACCCCTTTGAAGATTAATTTTTTTACTAATTACCCATTTTGAGCTTAAACCATTAATCATTTTTTGTACTAGAATAAACCAAATAATGTAACTCTAGCCAAAGAATGTACATTTTACTAATAGATATTTTTCTTATAGGATTTAATCAAAATAGACAATAACAATATTGTACCACAGGGTTAAATACCTATCTTAAATACAATAATAGGTGTACATTGTGATAAATTTTTCATTGGTCAATTGAATTCCAATCATCATCAATCATGAAATGAAAAATCTGTCACGTACAAAATGTAAATAATCAGTAGTTCAATACTTGCACTCCCACCTCTTAATGCACTCAATGTACATAATCCAGCACTTTGCACTCAATGGTTGATTTCTACTAATACATCGGAGAAAGCTGGTTTTGCTTTTGTCAAGTATAATATTGCTTCATGGCTTTTAGTAATTTTGCTTTTGCTCATTGCTTGTGCTTGTCATAACTTCATTATTGAATGACATATCTTTATGAATCAAACGCCAAATGATTAAGAAGGATATGTTTTGAATATTTGCCAGTGAAAAAATTGCTCCAGCTTGAAAGCTGAAAAAGTTACAAGCAAAATTAACTATGACCTGAAGCAATTTTATAATAACTAGCCTTGTACACTGACATGATGTTCTTTTCACACAGACTACTCCAGTTCTGAGCACTTTCTCAAACCACCTCACTTGATTTTTCAAAAAAAAAAAAATACTGAATCACAGTTACGGATTTGCTTGGGTGGTGCGGCCAACCGAACAGCATCATTAATTTTAATTTATATTTCACTATAATGGTAACTAGGGTATTTAAGTTAAGTTTGGTTTAAGAGACAAACTAACACCTCAAAAAAAAAAACTAACAAACCGTATATAAATAGCCTCCCCCTTCCACCACACACACATTCAACGGTAGAACTAGTTTCGAAGAGCGGTACCATCAGGAAGACTTGGACAAGAGGTACCGCAGCTTCAGTAGGTACGAGCCGCCCAAACCCGACGACAATTGGTCGTACGCTAACAAGTACAAAAGGCGCTCGTTGAATTCGAGAAAGAACGGTACTTTTAGGCCGAAGCCGTTGCAACTCGATAATGAAAAGTATTACGATCTTGTTTTTCCTAAGCAACGTAGTACTGATTATCGGTACGTTTATGAGCCGAATGGTTTAGATCGAGCTGATTTATAATTGTATAGTATTAAGATCTTTGTTAACGTAATTAATTGGAGCCGATTGAATTCTCTACAAATGCAGTGGTGTAAGATAGGCGGTTTCATAGACTTCCTTCCGGTATGAGGCATCACAAGAGTCTGGGGAGCTGATAGATAGAGCTCCGAAAGATGTCAAACGATATCATAGACCGAAAAGACCACGGCCACCAAGATTACGCATGAATATACCATAATTTAATTGAAAATACAAGTTTTAATATGTATTTATTAATGTTGTTCATTATCGTATATAAACTTGTATCTAAATTTTGACCCTTCAAAGGTCCTGTACTTTCTATACATCAATATCATTAATATCAATATTACGTTTTTGATGGAATACAAATTATTAGGAATAGTAAGTAACGGTATATTTTATACAAAGAGTTCAATGGTTAAAAAGTGAAAACAAATACCAAAATTAAATAGTTATGGTATAGGCCTAGGTATACTATACTGTGAGGACATAAAGTCCGTCTCCTCTCTCTAACTTTTGAACCGCTCGGTATATTGCAAGGAAATTTGGAGCGATGATATGTGAGCCATTTTTTGAATAACAAATGACAGTATTAGCTGTCAAAATGGCAGTAACCAAATGTTTTCAGAATCGGGCATTAAATTGAGAATAAAAAGACCTTTGAAACTATGTATGACTCTTAGAGCAGGTAAAGGTAAAGAGGAGTAGTAAATTGTATTTGAAAAATGAAGCCATTTTTTTCCAGGTATTTTGGCACCAAAATAATGGCGGTATAGGAAATTCAATGCTTTACCTGTATTTTGGTGCCAAACACCTGCCAAAAACTTGGCTTCACATTAGTTTCATAAGCAGAATGGCGCGTTCCTACTCCTTATGTCCGTAGGACAGCGCTTTACCTGCTCTAAGGTATGACTTGACACCGCCTTCTATTTAAAAACACGTTTCAAAACTGCGCCCAGCTATCATTTTGACAGCTCAAGCTGTCATTTGTTTTACAGAAAATGGAGAATTTTCTCTCATAGCATCATTTCATATTTCGTTGCAATATACCGAGCAGTTCAAAAGTTGGAGGGGAGTTGACGGACTTTATGTCCTCACTGTATGAATTTTTATTATAATGTTAAATTGTTGCAAACAACACTCATTTTAGTCATTTTTAAATAATATTTTGTCCGAAAATGATTGAAATAATTACCTACCTAGTGCTGAAAATATCATACATAGTACGTTCGTAGAAAAAAATTAACGTAATAACTTATCTGAATCACATAATTGACGTGAATTTAGTGAACAACTTCTCTCCTCTCGTACTGTGACACGCTGACATTCGGGAAAGTTTGGAGCTCCGTCTGTCTGTTCCCCAGACTCCTGTATGAGGCACCTTTATGATGCAAAATCGGCTGTCTTATACTACTAATTCATAACTAAATCCAAAGTAATACATTTTATCAATAACTTGATGACCATTCGGAATCTGAAGAAATTACCCAAAAAAGAAAAACACAAATAAGTACTTGTCATATATTTTCTCTAGAATGTTCTGGAAAACCAAAATATACGTTAGGGCTGGTATTTCAATGTTACCCTAAAATCAAGAGTACCCTTAACGTTAAGGTAAACTTTGAATCAGTTCATTCAGGTGGCTTAAGATCCACCTTGAATTAAGGAAACATTAATATACGGTGAAACTTGTATTAGGGACGTTATTCTGTACCTTAAAGTGACATTGAAATACCGGCCCTTAATCCCTATTAACATGTAATTTTAAGTTGTGTAAAGACTGAAAAATTTTAAAAATCTATCGCTGTAAATAAAAAACTGCCAGTACGACTAATACTAATTTTTTTGTATATAGACTCTACTAACTGTGTAAAGTGAGGATCAGAATTCTTGATACCCTCACTTCTACACAAAAATAATATTATTTTAGGCTAATTTACTCCATCATAACTAAATTGAAATGTTTTTTAAATATTATATTCTTCGTTATTAAAATTAATATAATTATTATTAGGTAGAACGAATTTAAACACTCTAAAATTAATTGTTAGACCGTAGATTTTCTTATATATGTGATGTTACAATAAAATAACTTATATATTGTTATAAGCTTTAAATGTGAAATCCGAATAAATTTTATCAATACATAATACATTCATTTGTGTCATAAATTTATAATTGTGTAAAAATAATTATTATGTATTTTCGATTTTAGACGGAATAATATATAAATGTACAATGTAAATTAATTGACAGGTGCGTTTTTTTTTTTGTACTGGTTGTTGACCCCCCCAGTTACCTGTAATTCGGTTACTTGACAGATCTGTGTATCAATGACATCTTAATACACCGCATCTCATTCATAAACTGGACTGGGACTCTATAACAAGTAGAGATCGTTATCCACATCGCTATGGGACTTACTAGAGAGAGAAAATATCTCTATTCGTTACAGAGTCCCAGCCCTGATGTTTGTTGTAATGACAAGACCACCTATCAGTGTTGCCAGTTCATATTTTGTTTTGTCAGTAGATTACCAGTCTAAATATTAGTAGAAATCAGTAGACAGATAAGTTGCCTTGTTAAAGGGGTAAGCTATTAGGCTATACTCAATTAATTATTTTAACTATGTTTTTTCAAATTGTCTAACAAAACTACTCATTACTCGGTTATAACTGCACATATTATGATGTATAATTATATATTTTGAATCAGAATTAAATTATCTTTAAGATAGAATAAGATTCAATTCTTTATCTCAAATACTTTTGAAGATATTGACGCTCAAAGTCAAAACTTTGTCTTAAATTTCACAAAAGATTCAAAGCTGATTTTTCTTGAAAACGAAGCCCTTGGGCTCGGAGTCTCAAATAACCTTTTTTATAGCCCTTATGAAGAGCTACAATTGGGTAAAAGATTCATGCCAATAGCTTCACTGGTTTCCAAAATATGGCCCTTTGAAATATTTGAAAATCAAATTTCCATCTTTGGAAAAAATCGAATTTTCAAATTTTTGGATTTTGCAATTTTTGACTTTACCAATCGAAAGAGAAGGTGAAAATTAATGGAAAAGCATTTTCGCAACTTTGTTTTTTGGGTTTTTGGGCTTGTGAAAAAATTAAAACCGTTTTTCCACATTTTGGGTCCAGAAAATTTCAATAATCTGACATTGTCTCACAAAACTACTCATTACTCGGTTATTACTACACATATTATGATGTATAATTATATATTTTGAATCAGAATTAAATTATCTTTAAGATAGAATAAGATTCAATTCTTAATCTCAAATACTTTTGAAGATATTGAGGCTCAAAGTCAAAACTTTGTCTTAAATTTCACAAAAGATTCAAAGCTGATTTTCTTGAAAATGAAGCCCTTGGTTTCGGAGTCTCAAATAACGTTTTGTATAGCCCTTCTGGAAAGCTACAATTGGGAAAAAGATTCATGCCAATAGCTTCACTGGTTTCCAAAATAAGGCCCTTTGAAATATTTGAAAATCAAATTTCCAAGCATAACCCCTTTGGAAAAAATTTTTGTACCTACTAACCTCAAAATATTTTACAACAAATTATATATGAAAATAAAGGCCAATGTGTAGGTTTTCAAACAAGATGATCACAATTGCAAAAGAACGTTTCACTTCCACTTGTCACGTAATTGAAAATTGCACTTTTTTAGATCAGATACGTCCAAAATCGCGTACGTACACTCTTATGTCCTGTAAAGCCTGGATTTATTTCAGAGTCCAGTAGATACTCACTAAAAGGGCATCTAGCGCCATCTGGGGAACGTACACTTGAAATGCGTTTAAATTACATTGAGTGGGCATATTATCAACATGGGCATATAACCTTCCACTACCTTATAGGATGCTCTATATTTGGTTCTTTATTCGTAAAGAGTACAATTTCCAAAAATGTACAACTCTTATATTTTTACCTTTTTTCTACCTGTAAAGGTAAAGGAGGTAGGTGGAGTGTCAATATATAAAAAAGCACCTTGTAAAAATAAGTGGATTATTGTGGAATTTATGGTTGAACCTCTGCGCAGCCATCTACTCACCAATATACTGTTGAACTGTTCAAAAAAAATCACTTACCTGAAACGTGTAGTTTTTGAACTGATAAGAAAAATTCATAACTGTGAGTGGATCAGGTTAGTATTGTACTTGAACAACATATTGGTGAATAAATAGCTGGGTCCACCTATAAGTTCCGCAACAATCCACTCGTTTGTACTTGAATAACTTATCACAATATATTTCTAGTTTGGTAAAGTAACATTATTAATTTCTGTTGAAAGGCGAATTAAGAAAAAGTGGATAATCTTACAAATTCTGACTTTATATAATAAGTTATTTTTCAAGTACAAATAGGTGGATTGTTGCGGAACTTATGGGTGGACCTCTGCGGGACGAGCGTAGCGAGTTCCGCAGCCATCTACTCACCAATATATTGTTGAATTTTTCAAATAAGACACTCACCTGAAACTTGTACTTTTTAAACTAATAAGAATAACTCACATTCGAGTGAGTCAGGTGTATCGTAATTAAACAACATATTGATGAATAGATGGCTGATCACCAAGAATTTATGGGTGAACCTGACTCACTCACATGTGAGTTATTCTTATTACCTAGTTTAAAAAATACATATTTCAGGTGAGTGTTTTATTTGAAAAGTTCAATAGTATATTGGTGAGTAGATGGCTGCGGAACTCGCTGCGCTCGTCCCGCAGAGGTCCACCCATAGGTTCCGCAACAATTCACTCATTTGTACTTGAATAACTTGTCACAATATATAACTAGTTTTGTAAAGTAACATTACTTATTCCTGTTGAAAGGCAAATTGACAAAAAGTGGATAATCTTACAAATTCTGATCGTAATTAAACAATATATTGATGAATAGATGGCTGATCACCAATAATTTATGGGTGAACCTGACTCACTCAAATATGAGTTATTCTTATTACCTAGTTTAAAAAGTACACATTTTAGGTGAGTGTCTTATTTGAAAAGTTCAACAGTATATTGGTGAGTAGATGGCTGCGGAACTCGCTGCGCTCGTCCCGCAGAGGTCCACCCATAAGTTCCGCAACAATTCACTCATTTGTACTTGAATAACTTGTCACAATATATTACTAGATTTGTAAAGTAACATTACTTATTCCTGTTGAAAGGCGAATTGACAAAAAGTGGATAATCTTATAAATTCTGACTTTATATAAGAAGTTATTTTTCAAGTACAAATAAGTGGATTGTCGCGGAACTTATGGGTGGACCTCTGCGGGACGAGCGCAGCGAGTTCCGCAGCCATCTACTTACCAATATATTGTTGAATTTTTCAAATAAGACACTCACCTGAAACTTGTACTTTTTAAACTAATAAGAATAACTCACATTCGAGTGAGTCAGGTGTATCGTAATTAAACAACATATTGATGAATAGATGGCTGATCACCAAGAATTTATGGGTGAACCTGACTCACTCACATGTGAGTTATTCTTATTACCTAGTTTAAAAAATACACATTTCAGGTGAGTGTTTTATTTGAAAAGTTCAATAGTATATTGGTGAGTAGATGGCTGCGGAACTCGCTGCGCTCGTCCCGCAGAGGTCCACCCATAGGTTCCGCAACAATTTACTCATTTGTACTTGAATAACTTGTCACAATATATAACTAGTTTTGTAAAGTAACATTACTTATTCCTGTTGAAAGGCAAATTGACAAAAAGTGGATAATCTTACAAATTCTGATCGTAATTAAACAATATATTGATGAATAGATGGCTGATCACCAATAATTTATGGGTGAACCTGACTCACTCAAATGTGAGTTATTCTTATTACCTAGTTTAAAAAGTACAAGTTTCAGGTGAGTGTCTTATTTGAAAAATTCAACAATATATTGGTGAGTAGATGGCTGCGGAACTCGCTGCGCTCGTCCCGCAGAGGTTCACCCATAAGTTCCGCAACAATTCACTCATTTGTACTTGAATAACTTGTCACAATATATTACTAGTTTTGTAAAGTAACATTATTTATTCCTGTTGAAAGGCGAATTGACAAAAAGTGGATAATCTTACAAATTCTGACTTTATATAATAAGTTATTTTTCAAGTACAAATAAGTGGATTGTCGCGGAACTTATGGGTGGACCTCTGCGGGACGAGCGCAGCGAGTTCCGCAGCCATCTACTCACCAGTATATTGTTGAACTTTTCAAATAAGACACTCACCTGAAACTTGTACTTTTTGAACTAATAAGAATAACTCACATTTGAGTGAGTCAGGTTAGTATCGTAATTAAACAACATATTCATGAATAGATGGCTGATCACCAAGAATTTATGGGTGAACCTGACACACTCAAATGTGAGTTATTCTTATTACCTAGTTTAAAAAGTACACATTTCTAGGTGAGTGTCTTATTTGAAAAGTTCAACAGTATATTGGTGAGTAAATGGCTGCGGAACTCGCTGCGCTCGTCCCGCAGAGGTCCACCCATAAATTCTTGGTGGTCATTCGGCCTACATCATATGAGTTAGAGGCAGATAGGTAGATAAACGAGTTGCACCCGTGCGCACTTGTTCATTATTTTGTTCAAGTGAACAGTTTACCTGTCCTGGCCAATGGGGGGGGGTTCTGTCATCACAGTAAATATCAGTTCATGAATGAAATGCGTGGTTTATGGGTAAAATGACTAGACATTCTTTGGAGCGTCCCTGGAATGGACACTTGTTACTATTTGACAAATCTATTAAGTCAATTATAAACGTTAATAGGTTGTGTGGTAATAGGAAACAGATTACTTTATCTGAGATGTCTCATAGAGATTTGCACCTTAAATAACGTCATAAAAGTTATCAGGCAACCTATACCTCTTTCAAACAACCTTGGTCAAAGGAGACCTCAAGGAACGACTATAATGTATACAATTCTGTCTCTCAACGTGTGTTGGCAAGTGAAGGAATGACAAGTGACAGCGTTCTTTGGACCTCAAATAATGCAGAACAAGCCATCTATTTCTACTAGAACTACGAAGAAGTCTCAGTCTTATAATAATCTACAAAAAGGGGGTGCAAGCGTTATGTAGACTCTTTGAACAATTCACAAACTTCTTTGAAATTTCTAAAACAAAATTAAAATCAAAAATATTCTTATAAAAAAATTCACTTACTCAATATAACTTGGAACATCCGGATAAGTTAAAATCTTATCGTGATTGCAATTGCCTGATGAAGGAATTAAATGAAACGTAACGTTGCCTTGTTTGGCCAAATCCCTTTGACTTCTAGCTACCCTTGCCAGCTAAAACTTGTATAAACTTTGATTTAAAAAAAAAATCAAATTACTTACTTTTTCTCCAAGAAAATACGGTATGACACCATCATCTTGAGCATGCAGCATCATTATAGGACAATCCACATGTAAAATATTGTTTATTGAATCAAACCTAAGCTCATTGGCAGCCAAAGGCCTTAAAATTGTAGCGTCGAAATAAGGCAACCATTTGAAAACCTTACCCAAAAACATATTGACTATTTGCTCTTGTAAACTTGTAAAGGCCGACTCAAATATGACCCCTTTGGGTGTAAAATTGCGTTGGGATTTTAAGGTTTTTAATGTGTGACAGGTAATTGCTGCCCCCATCGAATGACCCCAGTAATAAATGTTTCTGCTAAAGTTTTTTTGAGTTAACCAATCGTAGATTTGCAAGTGGTCGTTGACAATTCCTAGTTCAGTCATTGGGACGTTTTGACCAGAATCACCATACCCTACATAATAATATATTAATAAAATACAATAGGAATTAAAATAATAAATTACCTCTATGATCCATTGCAAGAACCAAAAAATACCTCCTAAACACTTCATATTGTAAAATATATCGAGCCCTATTTGCCAAAACCCCATGCGAATAAATAAGAATATCGTATTCACTTTTTCGTATGATATCTGAAACATCTTCACTTTTATTGAGGCCTTTTGGTAATACAAGCCAGGCTCCTATTTGAGTCAACGTCTCATTATTGTAATAATCTTTTACAGTAATATAGAAGTTTTTAACTCCTGTAATATTGTATTGCTGAGGGTTGTTGAAGTTTGGATTTTTGGGAAAGTCAACTGGAATCTTATTATGAGTTATAGTTTATAGTTGCAAAAATTACTTACTGGGCATAAAAACTGCAAATGTTTGAAAAGCCACCGATAGCCAAAAAGCCACAGGAAGTACAACCCATATAAGGATGGAACTTATTACTGTTGTTGTTAGGGTTATTGTTAGAAACCATTTCAATAAAACTTTCCATAAGGGCTTAGAATCTTTAGTTTTTTTACGACAAGTCATTTTTAACTAAATAATTTTCATTATCTTGTTTTCAGGCTCCTGTTGTTATGATTGTTGAAGGGATTAGGAGATAAAGTGAGATAATTTTGTGTTATTATATAAAAAGTAAGATTTGATAATTCCTGGCCTATTTTACACATAAAACAAATTGGAAGTCAATCTTACGTAACTAAGTAAACAGAATGAATATGATTTTAAATTGTCATTGGAAGTTTCTGAGAAATACTTCTAGTGATCAGAACAACTTGAAACTTTTTTGATCTAGCTAGTAATCAGGGTCTTTAAATTATATTGTAACAAAATTCCCTAATTTCCACGCCACCGATTGGCTGCGACTCAATGGCGAACGCTCCCCTGTATTATGTCAACTTGCTTCATGGCCTCCAACGTTTATAGTGCAATAACGCAAATTTCATTTAGTTTTCTCTGTTAATATAAGACTAATATACAATAATCAGTTTTCTCTATCGATTCTTGTTTAATTTTTTCCGTGTACTAAACTTCCCTAAGAATTATCTTACAAATTGGCGCCCAACGTAGGGCCACGGTACGGTTGCCGGATACTTGAGTTTTGAAAATAGGAGACCCTGTATAAGATTATAAGAGATTGGATAATAATAAATGAGAATATTTTATGTACAGTGGTGGCCATTTGAGTTGGCACAAATTTTTGAACGTAAAAGCCAAAGTTGACACAATTTTCGCATTAACGGTTTGTTAAAAACAATGAACTCGTTAAAAAGTCAAATCATTGGATGCAATACAAGTTGCATTCAAAAATTTGTACCAATTCCAATTACCGCCACTGTATTCTGCAAAATTACCAAATCCGAAAACCGCTACCATCTTGACAATTAGATATGATTTTTAGCAGATTTTGGAATGTATTGCTGGACATTCTTTTAGGTAGTTAGATACTCTTCCTGATCCGTCAATCTCATTTATTGTAAGAAGTCGTGGACAACACCTTAAGTCAGTGGCGTAACCTCAAATCCGCAAGGATTTTCCCAGGGCCCATCTTTTATATACATACATTTTTTCAATTTTTTCTTTATACAGGATGTCCGTTTTAAGTGATACTACTATTGATATCTCCGAAACGGTAATAGGGGCGGAGTCGGTTAAATTAGATAAAAGTGGCAAATTTTAGTATTCATTGAAGGTAAGTTCACAGGGTTGCCAAATCTTTGTACGTTTCCGAGATATAAGGGAAATGTAAAAAAACATTTAAAACTTATTTAATGAATATTTCAAAAAGGTATCAATTTTAGAAAACAGTGTTCAATGCAAAAGTTCAAAGATTCTTTCTTCTCTACGAAATGGCGTTTGTTATCTTCACACAGCTTCTAGTTGTGTTTACATTTTACCTCAAAGGCTTTATATCTCGGAAACAAATAAAAAATTGGCAACCCTGTGAACTTATCTCCAATAGATATTAAAATCTGCCATTTTTATTTAATTTACCCGACCTCATACCTCCTGTTTCGGAGATAGCAATAGTGGTATCACTTAAAACGGACAGATAATTTGGCATCTGTGAGTATATCTGAACATTTTTCTCTGAGATTTTTTACATTGGTTAGACCAGACATAGTTTTTCAATGGTTGAGATGTATTATGAGGTTCATAGGTTGTAGTATTTTCTTTCAATTTAGTCTGTCACTAGTTTAGTACTTTCGCCTGGTCTGGGGCCCCGTGGGCCCTAAGATCCCGAGCCCCCGCAACTGCGGGTCCTGCGGGCCCTTAGTTGCGCCACTGACGTCATATTTCAATACAATAGAATGCGATTTGGTATAAAAGTTGCCCCAGCCGTTTTTCAACTAGTTATAGATACCATGTTATCAGGTTTCAAAATCACAAAATGCTACAATTTTCAGTAGTATTGACCTTTCTGATGCTCTCCCTCAAATTGGAATCAGTAAAGAATCAACAAAATGTTTAATAATAAACACTCATCATGTATTATTTCAATACAATAGAATGCCATTTGGTATAAAAGTTGCCCCAGCCATTTTTCAACTAGTTATAGATACCATGTTATCAGGTCTGAGAGGAACTACGGCATATTTCAATATAATAGAGTGCCATTTGGTATAAAAGTTGCCCCAGCCATTTTTCAACTAGTTATAGATACCATGTTATCAGGTTTCAAAATCACAAAACTCTATAATTTTCAGTATCATTGACCTTTCTGATGCTCTCCTTCAAATTGAAATCAGGAAAATATTTAACAATAAACACTCATCATGGATTATTTCAATGCAATAGAATGCCATTTGGTATAAAAGTTACCCCAGCCATTTTTCAACAAGTTATGAATATCATGTTATCAGGTCTGAGAGGAACTACGGCATATTTCAATATAATAGAGTGCCATTTGGTATAAAAGTTGCCCCAGCCATTTTTCAATTAGTTATAGATACCATGTTATCAGGTTTCAAAATCACAAAACGCTATAATTTTCAGTATCATTGACCTTTCTGATGCTCTCCTTCAAATTGAAATCAGGAAAATATTTAACAATAAACACTCATCATGGATTATTTCAATGCAATAGAATGCCATTTGGTATAAAAGTTACCCCAGCCATTTTTCAACAAGTTATGGTTACCATGTTATCAGGTCTGAGAGGAACTACGGCATATTTCAATATAATAGAATGCCATTTGGTATAAAAGTTGCCCCAGCCATTTTTCAACAAGTTATGAATATCATGTTATCAGGTCTGAGAGGAACTACGGCATATTTCAATATAATAGGATGCCATTTGGTATAAAAGTTGCCCCAGCCATTTTTCAACTAGTTATAGATACCATGTTATCAGGTTTCAAAATCACAAAACTCTATAATTTTCAGTATCATTGACCTTTCTGATGCTCTCCTTCAAATTGAAATCAGGAAAATATTTAACAATAAACACTCATCATGGATTATTTCAATGCAATAGAATGCCATTTGGTATAAAAGTTGCCCCAGCCATTTTTCAACAAGTTATGAATATCATGTTATCAGGTCTGAGAGGAACTACGGCATATTTCAATATAATAGGATGCCATTTGGTATAAAAGTTGCCCCAGCCATTTTTCAACTAGTTATAGATACCATGTTATCAGGTTTCAAAATCACAAAACTCTATAATTTTCAGTATCATTGACCTTTCTGATGCTCTCCTTCAAATTGAAATCAGGAAAATATTTAACAATAAACACTCATCATGGATTATTTCAATGCAATAGAATGCCATTTGGTATAAAAGTTACCCCAGCCATTTTTCAACAAGTTATGAATATCATGTTATCAGGTCTGAGAGGAACTACGGCATATTTCAATATAATAGAGTGCCATTTGGTATAAAAGTTGCCCCAGCCATTTTTCAATTAGTTATAGATACCATGTTATCAGGTTTCAAAATCACAAAACGCTATAATTTTCAGTATCATTGACCTTTCTGATGCTCTCCTTCAAATTGAAATCAGGAAAATATTTAACAATAAACACTCATCATGGATTATTTCAATGCAATAGAATGCCATTTGGTATAAAAGTTACCCCAGCCATTTTTCAACAAGTTATGGTTACCATGTTATCAGGTCTGAGAGGAACTACGGCACATTTCAATATAATAGAATGCCATTTGGTATAAAAGTTGCCCCAGCCGTTTTTCAACTAGTTATAGATACCATGTTATCAGGTACCAAAATCACAAAATGCTACAATTTTCAGTAGTATTGACCTTTCTGATGCTCTCCCTCAAATTGGAATCAGTAAAGAATCAAGAAAATGTTTAATAATAAACACTCATCATGTATTGTTTCAATACAATAGAATGCCATTTGGTATAAAAGTTGCTCCAGCCATTTTTCAACAAGTTATGAATATCATGTTATCAGGTCTGAGAGGAACTACGGCATATTTCAATATAATAGAATGCCATTTGGTATAAAAATTGCCCCAGCCATTTTTCAACAAGTTATGAATATCATGTTATCAGGTCTGAGAGGAACTACGGCATATTTCAATATAATAGAATGCCATTTGGTATAAAAATTGCCCCAGCCATTTTTCAACAAGTTATGGTTACCATGTTATCAGGTCTGAGAGGAACTACGGCATATTTCAATACAATAGAATGCCATTTGGTATAAAAGTTGCCCCAGCCATTTTTCAACAAGTTATGAATATCATGTTATCAGGTCTGAGAGGAACTACGGCATATTTCAATATAATAGGATGCCATTTGGTATAAAAGTTGCCCCAGCCATTTTTCAACTAGTTATAGATACCATGTTATCAGGTTTCAAAATCACAAAACTCTATAATTTTCAGTATCATTGACCTTTCTGATGCTCTCCTTCAAATTGAAATCAGGAAAATATTTAACAATAAACACTCATCATGGATTATTTCAATGCAATAGAATGCCATTTGGTATAAAAGTTGCCCCAGCCATTTTTCAACAAGTTATGAATATCATGTTATCAGGTCTGAGAGGAACTACGGCATATTTCAATATAATAGGATGCCATTTGGTATAAAAGTTGCCCCAGCCATTTTTCAACTAGTTATAGATACCATGTTATCAGGTTTCAAAATCACAAAACTCTATAATTTTCAGTATCATTGACCTTTCTGATGCTCTCCTTCAAATTGAAATCAGGAAAATATTTAACAATAAACACTCATCATGGATTATTTCAATGCAATAGAATGCCATTTGGTATAAAAGTTGCCCCAGCCATTTTTCAACAAGTTATGAATATCATGTTATCAGGTCTGAGAGGAACTACGGCATATTTCAATATAATAGAGTGCCATTTGGTATAAAAGTTGCCCCAGCCATTTTTCAACTAGTTATAGATACCATGTTATCAGGTTTCAAAATCACAAAACTCTATAATTTTCAGTATCATTGACCTTTCTGATGCTCTCCTTCAAATTGAAATCAGGAAAATATTTAACAATAAACACTCATCATGGATTATTTCAATGCAATAGAATGCCATTTGGTATAAAAGTTACCCCAGCCATTTTTCAACAAGTTATGAATATCATGTTATCAGGTCTGAGAGGAACTACGGCATATTTCAATATAATAGAGTGCCATTTGGTATAAAAGTTGCCCCAGCCATTTTTCAATTAGTTATAGATACCATGTTATCAGGTTTCAAAATCACAAAACGCTATAATTTTCAGTATCATTGACCTTTCTGATGCTCTCCTTCAAATTGAAATCAGGAAAATATTTAACAATAAACACTCATCATGGATTATTTCAATGCAATAGAATGCCATTTGGTATAAAAGTTACCCCAGCCATTTTTCAACAAGTTATGGTTACCATGTTATCAGGTCTGAGAGGAACTACGGCATATTTCAATATAATAGAATGCCATTTGGTATAAAAGTTGCCCCAGCCATTTTTCAACTAGTTATAGATACCATGTTATCAGGTTTCAAAATCACAAAACGCTATAATTTTCAGTATCATTGACCTTTCTGATGCTCTCCTTCAAATTGAAATCAGGAAAATATTTAACAATAAACACTCATCATGGATTATTTCAATGCAATAGAATGCCATTTGGTATAAAAGTTACCCCAGCCATTTTTCAACAAGTTATGAATATCATGTTATCAGGTCTGAGAGGAACTACGGCATATTTCAATATAATAGAGTGCCATTTGGTATAAAAGTTGCCCCAGCCATTTTTCAATTAGTTATAGATACCATGTTATCAGGTTTCAAAATCACAAAACGCTATAATTTTCAGTATCATTGACCTTTCTGATGCTCTCCTTCAAATTGAAATCAGGAAAATATTTAACAATAAACACTCATCATGGATTATTTCAATGCAATAGAATGCCATTTGGTATAAAAGTTACCCCAGCCATTTTTCAACAAGTTATGGTTACCATGTTATCAGGTCTGAGAGGAACTACGGCACATTTCAATATAATAGAATGCCATTTGGTATAAAAGTTGCCCCAGCCGTTTTTCAACTAGTTATAGATACCATGTTATCAGGTACCAAAATCACAAAATGCTACAATTTTCAGTAGTATTGACCTTTCTGATGCTCTCCCTCAAATTGGAATCAGTAAAGAATCAAGAAAATGTTTAATAATAAACACTCATCATGTATTGTTTCAATACAATAGAATGCCATTTGGTATAAAAGTTGCCCCAGCCATTTTTCAACAAGTTATGAATATCATGTTATCAGGTCTGAGAGGAACTACGGCATATTTCAATATAATAGAATGCCATTTGGTATAAAAATTGCCCCAGCCATTTTTCAACTAGTTATAGATACCATGTTATCAGGTTTCAAAATCACTAAACGCTATAATTTTCAGTATCATTGACCTTTCTGATGCTCTCCTTCAAATTGAAATCGGTAAAGAATCAGGAAAATATTTAACAATAAACACTCATCATGGATTATTTCAATGCAATAGAATGCCATTTGGTATAAAAGTTACCCCAGCCATTTTTCAACAAGTTATGAATATCATGTTATCAGGTCTGAGAGGAACTACGGCATATTTCAATATAATAGGATGCCATTTGGTATAAAAGTTGCCCCAGCCATTTTTCAACAAGTTATAGATACCATATTATCAGGTTTCAAAATCACAAAATACTACAATTTTCAGTATCATTGACCTTTCTGATGCTCTGCTTCAAATTGAAATCAGGAAAATATTTAACAATAAACACTCATCATGGATTATTTCAATGCAATAGAATGCCATTTGGTATAAAAGTTACCCCAGCCATTTTTCAACAAGTTATGAATATCATGTTATCAAGTCTGAGAGGAACTACGGCATATTTCAATATAATAGGATGCCATTTGGTATAAAAGTTGCTCCAGCCATTTTTCAACTAGTTATAGATACCATGTTATCAGGTTTCAAAATCACAAAACGCTATAATTTTCAGTATCATTGACCTTTCTGATGCTCTCCTTCAAATTGAAATCGGTAAAGAATCAGGAAAATATTTAACAATAAACACTCATCATGGATTATTTCAATGCAATAGAATGCCATTTGGTATAAAAGTTACCCCAGCCATTTTTCAACAAGTTATGAATATCATGTTATCAGGTCTGAGAGGAACTACGGCATATTTCAATATAATAGAATGCCATTTGGTATAAAAGTTGCCCCAGCCATTTTTCAACTAGTTATAGATACCATGTTATCAGGTTTCAAAATCACAAAACGCTATAATTTTCAGTATCATTGACCTTTCTGATGCTCTCCTTCAAATTGAAATCAAGAAAATATTTAACAATAAACTCTCATCATGGATTATTTCAATGCAATAGAATGCCATTTGGTATAAAAGTTACCCCAGCCATTTTTCAACAAGTTATGAATATCATGTTATCAGGTCTGAGAGGAACTACGGCATATTTCAATATAATAGAATGCCATTTGGTATAAAAGTTGCCCCAGCCATTTTTCAACTAGTTATAGATACCATGTTATCAGGTTTCAAAATCACAAAACTCTATAATTTTCAGTATCATTGACCTTTCTGATGCTCTCCTTCAAATTGAAATCAGGAAAATATTTAACAATAAACACTCATCATGGATTATTTCAATGCAATAGAATGCCATTTGGTAGAAAAGTTACCCCAGCCATTTTTCAACAAGTTATGAATATCATGTTATCAGGTCTGAGAGGAACTACGGCATATTTCAATATAATAGAATGCCATTTGGTATAAAAGTTGCTCCAGCCATTTTTCAACTAGTTATCAGGTTTCAAAATCACAAAATGCTACAATTTTCGAGGATAATACCACGAGAGCTTCAGAATTATCGATAATTTTTCACGATTGCGTGTTTTCTATTTGCAGAGAAAACACGCATGAGTGAAAAATTATCTGGTTCATTTTAAAGCTCAAGTGGTATTTAGAGGATTATTTCACGTATGAGAATGCAAAAAATATGGAAATAAATATGTATTAAATGATTTGAACATCTTAATAATCAATACAAATAAATGGTTGCTATCAGGAACCGTTTGTTTGTATCAAAAATTAGCACGACAACCATGTATACAATAACATGGGAGAGTTATCGCTGTAATTCTCTCTAGTTAAACAAATGGAAAAGAGAATTTCCGCTGTAATAAATTGGCGCCCAACGTAGGGTTACGCCACGGTGAGTTTCAAGACTAGTAGAGTGATTATTGTGTGCCGATCGTGAAAACCCATGGTGTTTTTCGCGCTCGTTTGGTACGGAACTCATCACCGAAAAACAGCCGAATTGTGAACAACTATGACACCTTAGGTACCCCTACTGCGTGAGTTATCACTTTTTGAAATCGCCTTTGAAAGCTTCTGGAAAATAACTTTGGCAATCAGAGTAATTTGAAACTTTCACAATAGCTGATTACACCTTCAAAAAATCACCGTAAAACCTCGAAAAGTGAAGTAGAATTTTTAAATTTCTAATTTTAATCAGATAATAACCCAATTGAAAAATGTGATAATTATTAATCTCAAGTAGGTAAGTACCTATACCCGATACACTATATCAAATCAAAAAATTACCATTTCCACGTGTAGTTAATGTAATGTAACTTGGCACAATGTTAGCAGTAAATATTTCCTTCTTAATTTTCCTTGGTTTTATTTCCATTAATTATGGAGCAAATATTTTAGCAATAATGCCAACTGCCTCCTTCAGCCACCAAGTAGTTTTCAGGCCCTTATGGAAAGAACTCGCAAATAAGGGCCACAATATTACCCTAGTGACAACTGACCTCATGGAAAACATGCCTAATTTGACGCAAATCGACTTGAGTTATGGTTATAGTCATTACCAAAAGCAAAACTTTGTTGGTAAATAGTTTCTTTATTTATTTCATAAATTTTTTTGATGAATAAATTGTAGATATTATAAGTAACGACTCTAGTAGTTTCTACGAAATGGCAATGGCAGCTAGAAAAGCCACAAACGAAACAAACAACCAATTTTTCCAGAGCCCGGAAGGGCAAAATCTAATTCACAATCCAGACAACCTCTTTGATTTACTTGTGGTCGAAGCTCAGCTGCCTACCATGATGGTTTTTAGTTGGTGGTACCAAATACCATTTGTTGGTGTGAGCTCTTTGGATTGTGCTCTTCAATACCACGAATCGGCTGGCAATCCGATACATCCGATAGCCAATCCAGATACGAATTTTCCTTTGAATGATGTTTTTGAAATGACTTTTTGGGAAAGGTTGAATAGTTTTTTGTATATTAACTTGTACAGGTGTTTGATTCGGTTTTTGACGTTTCGAAATGAGAGAAGAATGCTTCAGCAATATTTTGGAGAAGCTGTGCCAAATATTGTGGATATACAAAACAATTTGAGTTTGTTGCTCATTGATACGAATCCTATTTTCCAGCCTGTTAGGCCATTGATGCCTAATACTATTACTATTGGAAATGGGATGCATTTAGGAGAATCTCAACCATTAACAGCTGTAAGTGGTTCAAATGTTTACCCAGTAAACGTAGCTAATAACTAAATTATTCCAATGGCATTGACTTTTTTTTTACACAGTATGGTTTTGTGATTATTACCGGCTCTTGATTAGCTAAATACATGAGCGCAACTAGGCTCCAAAAATGAGACGCGTAAAAGGTTAGTTTCACGAGGGTTTGTACTTACGTCATCATTTGCCTTTTTTTAAAAAAAAAAATAGGTTTTTTTATGTCTGAAATTTCGAACAAACATATAGTTCGTTGCACGGCACGCAGGTTTTTACTTACGTCATCAATGACGTCATAAAAAGAGAATTTATTCAGTTATCCGAAAATATATAGATAACATTTCTCCTAGGGTGATTTTTCACTGGAAAATTTTCGTAATTCTCTTTATTTTTATAATTGCAGTAATTTTTCTTAATTCCTGCAATTTTCCATAATTTCCGTAACATTTCAAAAATTGCGAAAAAGTGAGTTTCAAAATCGCAGGAAAGTGACGTAGGAATTACGAAAAATAGAAGTAAAAATTACAGAAAAAATGAGGTTGGAAATGTTGGAATTGCGAAAAAGTTGAGTAAAAATGGCGGAAGAGCAGGGTTATAATCGAGAAAAAATGAGGCTATAAATACGAAAAACAAAAGTAAAGATTATGGAAAATTAGGTTGAAACTACGGAAATATGAGGCGAAAATCGCGGAATATAACGGAAAAGTGAGGCAAAATTCGCAGAAAAATTTGTTGAAATTGCGACAAAGTGAGTTTGAACTTTGAAATTGCGGAAAAGTGAAGGTGAAATTGCGAAAAAAAAAGTGTTAAAAGCCGTTATTTTTCAAATAAATTTCGTTATTTTTATAATTTTTCCTTAGTTTTCGCAATTTTCGCAAAACTTTTTCGTAATTTCCTTAATTCTTCGTAACTTTCCAAAATTCATTGGAATTTTTCTGTAATTCCCGTAATTTTTGAATAATTTCTGTTGTTTCTCAGATTTTCGTATTTTTTTAATTTCCGTAATTTCTCAAAATATTCAGTTACTTATTTCATAATTCCCCCTAAGTTTTTGTTATTTTCAAAAATTCGTAATTCCCGTAATTTTTAAATTATTTTGGGGAATTTTCATTATTTCCGTAATTTCTCAGATAATTCTCCCTATTTCTGTAATTCTTCCTTAGTCATGGCAATTCTTGGAAAACTCGTAATTTTCTTAATTCCCGTAACTTTTTCATAAATCCCGTAACTTTCCAAAAATTATCGTAATTTTTTCGCAATTCCCGTAATTTTTTCTTATTTCTTTCAATTTTTATATTTCCTCTAGTTCCTCAAATTTTCATAATTTTGTAATTCCCATAATTTCTCAAAAAACTCAATTATCTTTATAATTCCCCCCAAGTTTGTTGTGATTCTCAAAAATTGGTAATTCCCGTAATTTTTTTTTTCTTGGATACTTACGAGAATTACATAATTTCGGAATTATGAAAATAACGGAGTTTTCTGAGAAATTACAGAAATTAAAAAATTACGGAAATCTGAAAACTACAGGAATTATTCAATAATTATGAAAAATACGAAAAAATCACCGGAATTAAAAAAATTGTGACAATTTTCAAAAAATTACGAAAATAACAAGAATAAAAAAACTTACGGGATTCACGAATTTTCCTTAAATTGCAAAAACTAAGGGGGAATTAAGAAATTAACGAGAATTTTTTGAGAAATGACGGAAATTTGAAAATTTTCGAAAATTCCAAGAAAAAAAAAATTACGGGAATTACCAATTTTTGAGAATCACAACAAACTTGGGGCGAATTATAAAGATAATTGAGTTTTTTGAGAAATTACGGGAATTACAAAATTACGAAAATTTGAGGAACTACAGGAAATATAAAAATTAAAAGAAATAAGAAAAAATTACGGAAATTGCGAAAAAATTACGATAATTTTTGGAAAGTTACGGGATTTATGAAAGTTACAGGAATTAAGAAAATTACGAGTTTTCCAAGAATTGCAATGACTAAGGAAGAATTACAGAAATAGGGAGAATTATCTGAGAAATTACGGAAATAATGAAAATTCCCAAAAAAAGATTGAAAATTACGGGAATTACGAATTTTTGAAAATAACAAAAACTTAGGGGGAATTATGAAAAAAGTAACTGAATATTTTAAGAAATTACGGAAATTAAAAGATTACGAAAATCTGAGAAACAACAGGAATTATTCAAAAATTACGGGAAATACAGAAAAATTACGATGAATTTTGGAAAGTTACGAAAAATTAAGGAAATTACGAAAAAGTTATGGGAATTACGAAAATTACGAGTTTTGCGAAAATTGCAAAAACTAAGGGAAAATTATAAAAATAACGAAATTTATTTGAAAAATAACGGCTTTTTACACTTTTTTTTTCGCAATTTCATCTTCACTTTTCCGCAATTTCAAAGTTCAAACTCACTTTGTCGCAATTTCAACAAATTTTTCTGCGAATTTTGCCTCACTTTTCCGTTATATTCCGCGATTTTCGCCTCATATTTCCGCAGTTTCAACCTCATTTTCCATAATCTTTCCTTTTGTTTTTTGTATTTAAAGCCTCATTTTTTCTCGATTATAACCCCGCTTTTCGCCATTTTCACTCAACTTTTTCGCAATTCCAACATTTCCCACCTCATTTTTTCTGTAATTTTTCGTAATTCCAACGTCACTTTCCTGCGATTTTGACACTAACTTTTTCGCAATTTTTGAAATGTTACGGAAAATTGCAGGAATTAAGAAAAATTACTGCAATTATAAAATTAAAGAGAATTACAAAAATTACAAAAATTATAGGAATTACGAAAATCACGAATTTTTGAAATTATGAAAATTACAAAACTTGGGGGAAATTCAAAAATAAACTTCAACTTTCTAATTTCCAAAAAAATTCGGAATTTTTTAATTCTGCCTAAGTTATTGTAATTTTCGGAATTTCAAAAACTTGTGATTTCCGTTATTTTGGGAATTACCGTAATTCACGTACCTAATTTTGGAATACCTTTGTAATTCTTTTTCGTAATATTTTGTAATACCCGTAATTTTTGTAATTTTCGTAGTTTTTCGTATTTTTCTTAATTCCCGTAATTTTTATAATTTCTCATAATTGCCGTAAATTTTCGTCATTTCCGTCATTTTACTAAGTTCAGTAAATTTTTATAATTCCCATTATTATTCGTAATTCTCGTAATTTATCTTGTAAGTTTTCGTAACTTTTCAAAAATTAGTAATATTTAAATAATTGACGTAATTTTGGAGTAACTTCGTAATTTTTTTGCGTAATATTTGGCAATTCCCATAATTTTGTAATTCCCGCAATTTTTTGTTATTCCGTGATTCTCGTTATGTTCCGTAATTCTCGTAAAGGTTTGCAATTCTCATAATTTTTCATATTTTACGTACTTTAACGTAATTCCCGTAATTTTTCTTTTCAAAAATTATCGTTATTCTCGTAATTTTGAAATGAGGAAAAATGAGGATAAAATCGCTGAAAGTGAGGATAACATCGCAAAAAAAAGTGAGGCAAGAATCGCGGAAAAATGAGATAATATTTACAGAAAAGTGGGTTTACAATCGCGAAAAAGTGGATTTAGAATCGCGGTAAGTGATGGTAAAATCGCAAAAAAATGAGTCAAAAATTGCAAAAAAAAAATTATTCAAAAATCGCAAAAAAAGTGAGGTCAAATTCGCGAAAAAGTGAAGATAAAATCGCGGAAAGTAGGGAAAAAATCGCGGGAAAATGAGGTAAGAATCGCGGAAAAATGAGGATGAAATAGCGGAAAAATAGGTTTGTAATCGCGGAGGAGTGAGGGTAAAATCGCAAAAAAGTGAGGCTAAAATCGCAAAAAAAGTAAGGACAAAATCGCAAAAGAGAGAGTGAAAAGTCGAAAAAAAAAGAACCAAAAATCGCAAAAAAATGAAGACAAAATTGCAAAAAAGTGGGTCAAAAATCGCAAAAAAAAAATGAGTCAAAAATTTCAAAAAAAGTGAATGTGAATTCGTGAAAAAATGAGATAAGTATCGCGGAAAAATGAGGTAATATTTGCGGAAAAGTGGCTTTACAATCGCGGAAAAGTGAATTTAGAATCGTGGAAAAGTGATACTAAAATCTGAAATGGACCCCGCAATATTTAAATGGAAATTGGTTACCCGTGATATTTGGATGAAATTTAAATATGTTATGGGGACAACCCTGTATATATGACAGGTGAGGCGTGGTTAGCTGTCAAATATTAGAATCTGATATCCAAAAGCAGAATAACTATGGCAGATTTTGATGAACAAAAAATCTATTTCCACTAAGTCGACCAAGTTAAGTCGAAAAAAGTCAACCGTTTTAACACCTGTCAAAACCCTGCCAAACGGCAGCACTCATCTTTTCCAATTTTCAATATTTCATGTTGTCATTTGACATTTTTAACTTATATGTAAATTCTGAATTCAAAAATTGAAAAAAAAAAATGACATGTGTCAAAATGTGACGTGCATGAACTTTGTTCAATATTTTATCACCAATAAACTACCTTAAAACGAGAAAGGACCAAATTAGAGTATTATTTTCTACTAAAACAAATGACAGGTTTTGACAGTTCTGTAATTTTTTTTCAATTTTTGAATTTAGAATTTTCATAAAAATGTCAAATGACAACATAAAATATTGAAAACTGGAAAAGTTGAGTGCTGCCGTTTGGCAGGGTTTTGACATGTGTTAAAATGGTTGACATTTTTCGACTTAACTTGGTCGACTTAGTAGAAATAGATTTTTTGTTCATCAAAATCTGCCATAGTTACTCTGCTTTTGGATATAAGATTTCAATATTTGACAGCTAACCACGCCTCACCTGTCATATATACAGGGTTGTGCCCATGGTATAAAATGATGCTTACGGCATCCTCAATAACATATTTAAATTTCATCCAAATATCACGGGTAACCAATTTCCATTTAAATATTGCGGGGTCCTTTCTAAATTATGACGTCATCGATGACGTAAGTAAGTACAAAAAGTACAAAAAAAATAAAAAATTTAGTTGCACTGATTTTTTATATTAGTTTTAGGTTGTGCCACTGTAGGTAGTGCTATGGTGGGATGCCGAATGGGAGTGCTAATTTTTGTTTTAGGGGTACTTAGCACCCCCAAGCACCCCCCTAGTTGCGCTTATGGCTAAATAGGCAATTCAAGAGCCGGTAATAATCAAAAACTTGACATTAAGATTTTTATTAGGATTTGCAAGACTTCCTAGACGATGCCAAAGAAGGAGCCATTTATTTCAGCTTGGGCAGCAACATAAAAGGCAAAAACTTAAATGACACCGTTAAAAAATCATTATTGGAAGCATTTACAAGTATGCCTTACAAAGTACTTTGGAAAATCGATCATAAATTTGACAAAGTACCAAAGCATGTCAGGATTCAAAAGTGGTTCAGTGCACAGCATGATATTTTAAGTAAGATTGATTGCTTTCTATTTCAATTCTACAACAATTCCTTCAGGACATCCAAATATCAAAGTATTCATCACCCAAGGTGGTCTACAATCGATGCAAGAGTCGGTGCACGCTGGTAAACCTATGATAGGAATACCATTCTTTGGTGATCAACACATGAATGTTAAACGTATGGTGCAGCTTGGCTATGGCCTAAAAGTGCACAAGCATAATATTACAAAACAATCTATCCAAGAAGCTGTAGAGGAGATCATGGATAAACCAATGTAAGTTGGAGATTTTGTGAGTAATGTTTCTATACATATAGATTTTCTTTTAAGATACACTGAAAATGCTCAAGAGTATGGAAGGATATTTAGGGACGTTGAAGTGCCAAATTTGGACAAAGCTGTCTGGTGGCTTGAGTATGTCATTAGGCATAAAGGTGCTAGGCATTTGAGGAATCCAATGCTGGAAATGCCTTTTTGGCAAATTTATATGTTGGATGTAATTGGGTTAATTTTGCTATGTTTTGTAGCTGTGGTTTTTGTAGGGAAGCTTATTGTGAAGACCATATATAGGAAGTTGATTGTAAATAAAGAAAAAAAGACAAATTAATTAATTAGAGAATATATTATGCATACACTTGATCAGTGTTACCAGATTGGGGGATTTTCAAGTAGATGGGGGAAAATCTGGGGGATAGTTTTTTCTGGGGGATTTTTTGGGGGTAGGAATTGTAAGAATTTTCGCTATTGGGGGAAATCGGGTATATTTCAATGAATAAAACTAAAGTGAAAAATGTACTAAAACAACTGCGCCATCTATTTTTTCAATCAAGTACCAATAAAAAAGATACAGTTTGCTTCTTCTGCAGTGTTGCCAATGGGCGGATTTTTTTTGGATGATCGGATTTTGTAATTCAGAGGATTTTTTGCGGATTTTTTTAGATAAAACGAATAAGGGCATGAAATCCCTCCAAAGCACAAAAAGCCAACATGGCTGCTATGGCAGTATGCAACAAAAGCGTTTGGTATGGATTTGAGGTTATGATGACAGTGCGTTTTTATTGAAAAACAACTTCCAAAAACACATTTATTAGGCAACTTTTCGCGAGGATAATCAAGCATAATCTGATTAGCTGAGTTATCTGATGTGACAATTGTGTCATACTTCCCTAACTCTCAAACTCTCTCTCCATCAAATGCCTGCGAGTGACTTTCAGCAGGTTATACTGATGACGTCACCCGCAGACCTCGATGGAATGCTTACGATTCAGGCTATGCTAGTGAGTTCATTTTTTTTGGTCGATTTTTCCCAGAATTTAATGGTGGGGTTGTTCTCAGAAAAATATAAACAAATAAAAAAGTGGTAAGGGTATAAGTTTTATTTTAAAATATTCAATGAATTTGTCTTTGTATGAGTCGAGAATAAATGTATATTTATTTGGGGGATTTTAGTTGACAAACAGTGATTTTTGGGGTATTTTTGAAATCCTTTGGGGGAAATTAGTTATAACCATCTGGCAACCCTGCACTTGATTTGAAATCGAATTTTGATGAAATTTAGCTTGATTGAGTTTGATGTTATCTTATGTAACAGGGACCTGTATTATCGGCCTACTTGTTTATATGTTTGCATTATGTTCAACTCTTTATCTGAGCCTGATATGTATGGAAAGATTTTAAAAAAAAATATTTTTTTTTTAGCCAAAATCTTTTTTTTAAGGCCTGTTTGATGAAAAAAACCTATGCTAACATAAAATTACTATAGACTCTACAGACAAAAAGCCTCTGTTTTATGATAAATTAGTTTTCTCGGTACTCACCCCTGAAACTGTGGCCCCCGCCGCTCTGAAATTCAGTTTCCGGGCAAAATAAACACCGAATCTGAACCGCGACACTTTTCCGAACACTTTAGAGTACTTTTTCCTATTGAAAAACCGGAGGCCGAAATAAAAACGCGTTGGCCATTTTTCACTATAATAATGGCCGACTGTAAAGTGTCAAAATTGCCATTCCAAAGCCTACTTGACTGAAACCTATTATTAAAAGCCTATGATTATATTAATTTTGATGCAATTTAACTTAATTAGGCCTAAATTAAGTCCTAATTAGTTATTTTACTCGATTTTGGGGCTTGCTATTGTGGCGCCATCTCGTGACAAATAGTTGTTTCAAAATGGCTTACGCGCTTTTATTTTCCATTTTCATTACCGGCTCATTATTTTATTAAACATTATGATTGCTTAATTAAATTTTAAACAAAAAACCATTTAAAATGTATTTTTTTCCCTATTTGAAATATGGCAACTTCGCTTTTAATCAGGTAGGCCTTGTAATGAAATGTCATTTGTCACTTCTATTTTGACAGTCGGCTATTTTTAATTAATGTGTTTACATTTTATCCAGATTTTTCTAGAATTTTACGCTTTTCCAGGCCACTTGTCAGTTGAGAAAAGTGATTTAAAATACGAGGCTTCATTTTCCGCCAAAAATTTCCAATTTTTCAAGGGGGTAAGTAACGAAAACTCAAGTTTTATCAAGTAGGTTTTGGAATGATAGTTTTGCTGGTTTTTCTTAGAATTTTCCGCTTTTTCAGGCCGTTTTCGAGCGGGAAAAAAAATTTATAGAAATTCTCACGAAGTGACGTAGGTACCCAACTGGTTGTTTTTTAAAAAATTAGCCCAACTATGAACTATATAATACTAGCTGACCCAGCGAACTTTGTACCGCCTCTGAATTATCAAATACCTATTTAATGTTGTGTTAACGTATCTACAGGGTGTCCTTAGATAAACTGACACATTTTGCAGATAAATATCTCGAAAACGAGAAACGATAACAAGATGCGGTTTGTTCTAGGAGAATAAGGATTTTTTAAAGTTTTTTTTCACACTATTGCCGATTTTAAATAATCGCACGTCTGTAAAACCAAATTTCAGCAAATTTTAGGATTCGGCAATACTGTGAAATAAACCTTAAAATATTCTATATATACCTATATTCTCCCAGAACAAACCGCATCTCGTTATATTTTCTCGTTTTCGAGATATTTACCTTCAAAATGTGCTACTTCATCTATAAGGAAAACCTGGATCAGAATAAGTCACCTAAAATTAAAATTTTACATCATTCCTTTTTAGGCAGCTTGTGGGCATTATTCTTGTAAAGTGTACCACCAAATAAATAAACTCAGGCACAGAAATGTTCAAAAAAAGTAAAGAAAATAAAAAAATACCTCCAGCGCAGCCCTGTTTCACTCTATCTGCAGTGCATGCACTGCTGTACTCCATCTGTTCTACTCTATCTGCACTATTCTATCTGACCTACTTTTTCTGCACCACTCTATCTGATCGTATAATAGCATAGTTCTGTTCGGAATAGCTCCAGTTCCTGAGCAGCATTGTTCTACTGTATCTGTAATGAAATTACCGCGCAACGGCGAGCTTCGTTCTAGGTATCAGAGATGGCGCCGTATACAAAATGGTTTGCAATGAAAATGTGGCGGTAAACTTGGTATTGGTTATAAAAGATGGCGTCGTATGGGGGCTAAGTGAATTTTTTTTATAAATAAGTAAAATAAGTAATTTTGTTTTTTTTTTTTCGATTTATTACGTTATTAGGGACAAAGACAAATCCAATAAAGCAAAAATCATAAAAATCAGTCCAGCCGTTCTAGAATTATAAGTGCTAGAACCAACCCAACTGTGTTTTATATATATAGATTGTTGCGTGTACCATTCTATAAAACACCTATTAGAGTACTCTCAGTTATGGTAAAATAAATCTAAGTTGAATAATATTCTCACAACAAATGGTTGAATGTTCCCGAAAAGATAAAATCGTGCCTTCTGTAAAGTTGGAAAAATTGAGATACGACCAGTGTTGCCAGAAAGCAAAAATTTTTTGTACCAGAGTTAAAGAGAAATTGTACCAGAGCGGGTTACCCGGGAGGACACACTGATTCCTTCAGTGTAGCGCGCGTGCGGCCCAGAACATCTAAGGGCATCACAGACCTATAATATTCATAATAGGTATTGACAATGAACGGACTCATATAACTCCGGCCCTTGGGGCTCGTAGGTATAACTTTGGCCAAAACCTATGGCAATACTGCTTATGGAACAACAAACGGTAAAAAATTGACGTTTCAAAGTAGGCCTTGTTTTCTTTAAAACTCGATACAAAATGTCGTTTCTTTGTTGCTCTGTGGGCTCAAGATTGAAAACACTCTCGCCCTGCGGGCTCATGATTAAAAAAAAAGACGCCATTTCAATCCTCTAGCGTTACAGTGTTGCCAAAAGTTAAAAATTTCAATCAGTCTACAACATCATAACAAACGTTTCTTGATGTCAATTGCCACTTGTCAACGTTTACATTTACAATTACAAATGCTCCAAAATTACTGTTAAAGCGTGGCAACGTTGCTGTTGTAGGCCTCAATCTGAATCACAAGGCTGTCAATTCGTCGTTAATTTCACAAAGTGACGTATCTCAAAATAACCCTGATTTGAGGTACGTCACTTTGTGAAATTAATGACAAATTGACAAAAAAAAGTCATAACAATCGTAGGTGGTCCTGAAAATTAACTCGACAATTGTAAAAAGTCATAATATTGTATGTAGGTTTGTCAGTTGTCAAAAATAATTGAGTAATTAGGTCTGTTCGCAGAGAAATCACAAACCAGTCAGAGTGAATTTTATTGGTTGAAACTAGTTTTCTGACTGTTTCTGATTGTTTTCAACCAATGAAATTCGCTCTGACTGGTTTGTGATTGCTGTGCGAACAGGCCTATTATTCCAAGTATTTGAACCGGGAACAATCGAAAATTTACTGTGATGATAGTTTGGCTCGACCAACTAATCATTTAAATTGTTTCCTACTTTATCTCGCTCTTTGTCTTACTCATTTATAATCGCTTTTGGTTACCTACCTCATCTTCTTCTTTATTTTACTCAATAAAATCTGGAAAAACATGTTTGAGTTTGTAATTATGGCAACGTCGCTTTTGATCAAATAGGTAATGTAATGTCATTTGACATTTTAGACAGTCGGCCATTTTCGAGTGTTTTTATCCAGTTTCTCCTTGAATTTTCCACTTTTCTAGGCCGATCGGGAAAACTGTTAATTATATGCGAGCCCGAAGGGCCGGAATTAAACGCGAGCCCAAAAAGCCGGAGTTATCCGCGAGCCCGAAGGGCCGGAGTTATACGCGCGAGCCCGAAGGGCCGGAGTTATACGCGAGCCCGAAGGGCCGGAGTTATACGCGAGCCCGAATAACTTCATTTTAGTCACGGTGCCCAGTCTATAATTCTATTGGTCAGCGGATAATTTGAAGCCAATCATAAACCGGGAATATTCAAAATGCGAATTTTAGCGTGCAATCAAAAAGCCTGGAATATTCAAAAACTTAATTTTTATCAACTTGACTTTGGAACGTTGGTTTTCTATTGGGTTTTCTTAAGATTTTTACTTTTTTCAGAAAACGGTGGTTTTTGCAAATATATACTACTTTATCGTTGTCTTTGTCTTACTCACTATAATCAATAAGTAAACGTTGTAATGTCATTTTCATTGAAATTAAACTAAAAACAAGTTTCCGATGCTTTATCTAGGGAATTTTAATTATTATAATCATCATTTAATAATAATTTAACAATTTTTAATTGAATTTTAAACAAAAAATTCATTTTAAATGTTATTTTTGTTTTCCGAAATGTAATGTGGCAATGTTGCTTTTAGTCGGCCATTTTGAAGTGACGGCTTGTGATTTTTTGCCAGTTTTTCCTCGAATTTTCGACTTTTCTGGGTATTTTTAATGGAAAAAAGCGATTTAACATACGAGGCTTTGAGTATTCTCCGTTTTCTAGCAAAAATTTCCACTTTTAAATGGCATAATTAGCAAAATTCCATTTAAAATGCTTTTGATGTGGTAACATCGCTTGTGGCTAAATTCAATCAAAGAGGCTTTGTAATAAATATTACTTGTCATTTCTGACAGTCGACCATTTTCATTTGACGTGTTTACTTTTTTATCCAGTTTTTCCTAGAATTTTCCACTTTTCCGGGTTGTTTTCGATCGGGAAAATCGATTTAAAGTACGAAGCTTTGAGTTTCCTTCATTTTGTATCAAAAATTTTGAGCTTTTCAACGGGGTAAGTAACAAAAACTTAAGTTTCATCAAGTAGGCTTTGGAATGTCATTTTTCAATGGTTTTTCTTTGGATTTTCCACTTTTCCGATCAGGAAAACCGATTTAAAGTGGCTGAGTTTTCTTTAATTTCTGCCGAAAACCTGAACTAAATACACGATGGTGACGCCATCTATTTACGAATCAAAAATTATTGTAATATTGAATTTAATTGAATACAGAAATACAAGTTAATTAGAATATCGGAATTAGACTAGGTATAGGCAGTAGGCTAAGACTCTGAGAATTGGGAAAAAATAAAGAAATTGAAAATTGTAAATACCAAAATATGCCAACGTCGTACCGGCGTACTTTTTCAAAACGAATGGCACCAAATCTGGTACAATTCTACCACCTCTGGTAACAGTGGATACGTGACATTGGTACGTGAGATAGGGAAAGATATAATGTTCTGTTGTAAACGCACCCGAAGCTAGCCAATGCAATTTCCGTGGTTGATCTAATGGTTCATAGATGGCGTTCCGTATAAACACAATGGAATTGGCTAGATTTACACAGTAATATCTTGATTTGCTAAATAGGCAACTCAAGAGCCGGTAATAATCACAAAATTTTTCCTAAGGGCCAATAATATTGAACAATTAAATTTGGTATTTACAATAAATCATTAATTCAAAGCATTTTTTTTACAATTGTCCTCTTATCACTTAACAATAATTGCCTTATTGCTACTATAAGCCAATAAATAATCCCTAAACAACTCAACAAAATTAAACCTAAAACTGCAGCAATATCCAAAAAATAATATTGATAAAAAGGTATCGTTTTATGAACCATATACTCAACATTGCCTTTATGTCTTACGACATATTCGGTCCACCAAACAGCCTTTTCCAGCCCGCTCATTGGCTGATCCAAATTGACTTTATTCAATCTCCGAATATTTTGAACATACTTTTTATTTCCCATTACGTCTAAAATTGCATCTCTCAATTCTCCGGGATCAATTCGTGGGCTTGAAGCGACATACTTCAAAATCCCTCTAAGCTCCATCTTTTTCAAGTTGCTTTCTTGATCCGCAATCATTGGAATTCCTATTAGGGGCTTTTCAAAGTAGATGGCTTCTTCTAATGATTGAATTCCTCCTTGAGTTATGAATAGTTTTACATTTGGATGACCTAAAATTACTTCATTAAAATATTTCCAATTGAAATTAGTTACTTACGTAAAACATCTTGTTGAGGCCACCAAGGAGCAGTCATAATATTTTCAGGCATAACAAAACTTCCATTGTTGTTAAACTTCCATAAAATCGAATAAGGTAGGTTTTTCAGGATTTCAATTATAGCTTCAATGGTTTTGTGGCCTAAAGTTTCACTTTTAACGTTGCTTCCCAAGCTGAAATAAATCGCACCCAATTTGGCTGAATCCAAAAAACTTTGAATATCCTGAAATAATGTTTTAATAATTGATTCAACAAGATTTAATACTGACTTTTTCCAAAGCTTGAGAAGGCTTTATTGTAATTCCTCCTCCAATATTCACAGTCCTCATTGATACAGGCCTTGGATAAAGTAAAACTGGACTGACAGCAACAAAAAGCATTGAAGCCTTGTTAATCATTTCTTCAATTGTAAGTGAAACATTATTGAAATATTTATCGAGGGTGTTTTTTCTTTGAACAAAACACTGTTTTTGAATATAAGCGATTCTCCAGTGAGTTATAAAATTTGCAAGCCTTTGCACAAAATTAAGCTCGCCTGCGTATAAAGCTGTTAAATCTGGATAAAGCTAAAAATAATTGTTGTAAAAAAAATTATCAATTATTAAAACGTACTTACAATAGAATGATAATCATTCTGTAAGGCTTTATGTATAACAAAAGAGTCTTCAAAAGAAGTCAACAAAATAGTTGGAGCTTTAAATCGCTCTCCAAAAACCAAAAATTCTGGTTTAAAAGTTTCCGCCATCACTACATCAAAGTGCAAATGTTTATTGTTAATTAATTCTTGTACTTGGGGTAAATTAAAATACAAAACATCCACTTCAATTGAAAAGCTGCACGTAAATCGTTGGAACTCCACAACATTTTTTGGAACCAAATCGATTTTTTGCTGCAAACATTTATACCCTATACTCAAATCTATTTCAGTCAAATTAACAAGACTTGAATTGTTTTGGGGATTCGTTGTTAGAACTGTTACTTTGTGACCTAAAATTTAGAATTTTAGATTTTTGAAAATATATTAATAATGTTTACCTTTCAAAGACAATTCCTTCCATAGATTCATGTAAGCCAACTGATGGCTGTAAGACGGAGTAACAACGATACCCAAAATATTAGCACCATTGCATACATTTGAAATTGTTGCTAGTAAAATTATTATAAAGTTTAGTAGCATTTTGCGGCATTAATTATTAGTTGTCGTAAAAAATTTATTTAATTATTGAAAAACTTAAAAACAAAATTTATGGGTACCAGATAATGAATAGCTAATGGCTAAAGACATTTGGACTAATTACTTAATAATTTTTTTGTCTTATCTTATCTTATCTTATAGTTAAATTTTCAAATTTTTATCTTCGTCGCTAGGCTATAAATCTTCTACATACAAAGTGTCCCAGGAAAAACAGTCCATCTCGATTTATTATTATTCGTGCGAATTCGGAAGAAAACATGCGATTGATCCAAAAAAAAAAATGGGATTTTTCGCAGTAGTTCTGACGATTTGTGTGCTGTGTTGACTGATGGGTTACTCAGAAAATAGCTCTGTTCCAATCGACATAAGAACTTTTCTGGAACGGTAATTTCCAGTTGCCCACCTATTTTTCAATAAGTTAAACGTTTATCCTAATTGACAAATGAATTGATCAACTACAAATTACCATTCTAGAACGGTTCTCATTTTGGTTGGAACAGAGCTATGGATATCGAAAAATTGATTAATTTGATATAAAAACAAAACCTTCTGTAAGATAATAATATAACCGTCAAATCATATCACATGAGAGTATAGGTAAGAGAATATAATAATATTTTTTTTTTATAAATAGGTAGCTTATTATGTAGATCCTTGATTAGTTAATAATTTCTACACGATGCCTAAGTCTAAGTCTAGAAGGAAGACTGCTGTTCAAAATGAACTTTCGAATGAAAACTTTAACTTAGGTATTCATGCAGATACGTCACTGATAAGCCAAAGTAAAGAATCTGAAACTATTTCTCGGTTGGTTCGAAAGAGACAGCTCTTATCAATATACCCCAAACTCCATACACTAAATTTGAAACCGAAATCTATGAAAAAATACACTCAGAAAAATTGAAAAATCGATAAATCACCCCAAATTGCTTAACACGATTTTATCTCAAGAACTATAAGTGCAAATGAGCTGAAATTTTCAGGGATTGTAGTCCTTTGAAAGGGATAAAATTCAGTGAAAGTTTCAGCTTTCTATCTATAATAGAAAAAAAGTTATGATCTTTCAAAGATTTCCAAAATCTAAATCATAAGGTAGGTACCTTCTTACTAAAACGATGAAATTTCAAAATTTTTTTTGTCGAGATTTTGTATCCTAAGGGTCAATCAACATACCCCAAACTCCATACACTAAATTATTCTCAGATTTGAAGCTGAAATCTATGAAAAAAGGCACTCAGAAAAATTGAGAAATCGATAAATCACCCCAAACTGCTTAACACGATTTTATCTCAAGAACTATAAGTGCAAATGAGCTGAAATTTTCAGGGATTGTAGTCCTTTGACAGGGATAAAATTCAGTGAAAGTTTCAGCTTTCTATCTATAATAGAAAAAAAGTTATGATCTTTCAAAGATTTCCAAAATCTAAATCATAAGGTAGGTACCTTCTTACTAAAACGATGAAATTTCAAATTTTTTTTTGTCGAGATTTTATATCCTAAGGGTCAATCAACATACCCCAAACTCCATACACTAAATTATTCTCAGATTTGAAGCTGAAATCTATGAAAAAAGGCACTCAGAAAAATTGAGAAATGGATAAATCACCCCAAATTGCTTAACACGATTTTATCTCAAGAACTATAAGTGCAAATGAGCTGAAATTTTCAGGGATTGTAGTCCTTTGAAACGGATAAAATTCAGTGAAAGTTTCAGCTTTCTATCTATAATAGAAAAAAAGTTATGATCTTTCAAAGATTTCCAAAATCTAAATCATAAGGTAGGTACCTTCTTACTAAAACGATGAAATTTCAAATTTTTTTTTGTCGAGATTTTATATCCTAAGGGTCAATCAACATACCCCAAACTCCATACACTAAATTATTCTCAGATTTGAAGCTGAAATCTATGAAAAAAGGCACTCAGAAAAATTGAGAAATGGATAAATCACCCCAAATTGCTTAACACGATTTTATCTCAAGAACTATAAGTGCAAATGAGCTGAAATTTTCAGGGATTGTAGTCCTTTGAAACGGATAAAATTCAGTGAAAGTTTCAGCTTTCTATCTATAATAGAAAAAAAGTTATGATCTTTCAAAGATTTCCAAAATCTAAATCATAAGGTAGGTACCTTCTTACTAAAACGATGAAATTTCAAATTTTTTTTTGTCGAGATTTTATATCCTAAGGGTCAATCAACATACCCCAAACTCCATACACTAAATTATTCTCAGATTTGAAGCTGAAATCTATGAAAAAAGGCACTCAGAAAAATTGAGAAATGGATAAATCACCCCAAAGTGCTTAACACGATTTTATCTCAAGAACTATAAGTGCAAATGAGCTGAAATTTTCAGGGATTGTAGTCCTTTGAAAGGGATAAATTCAGTGAAAGTTTCAGCTTTCTATCTATAATAGAAAAAAAGTTATGATCTTTCAAAGATTTCCAAAATCTAAATCATAAGGTAGGTACCTTCTTACTAAAACGATGAAATTTCAAATTTTTTTTTGTCGAGATTTTATATCCTAAGGGTCAATCAACATACCCCAAACTCCATACACTAAATTATTCTCAGATTTGAAGCTGAAATCTATGAAAAAAGGCACTCAGAAAAATTGAGAAATGGATAAATCACCCCAAATTGCTTAACACGATTTTATCTCAAGAACTATAAGTGCAAATGAGCTGAAATTTTCAGGGATTGTAGTCCTTTGAAACGGATAAAATTCAGTGAAAGTTTCAGCTTTCTATCTATAATAGAAAAAAAGTTATGGTCTTTCAAAGATTTCCAAAATCTAAATCATAAGGTAGGTACCTTCTTACTAAAACGATGAAATTTCAAAATTTTTTTTGTCGAGATTTTGCATCCTAAGGGTCAATCAACATACCCCAAACTCCATACACTAAATTATTCTCAGATTTGAAGCCGAAATCTATGAAAAAAGGCACTCAGAAAAATTGAAAAATCGATAAATCACCCCAAATTGCTTAACACGATTTTATCTCAAGAACTATAAGTGCAAATGAGCTGAAATTTTCAGGGATTGTAGTCCTTTGAAAGGGATAAAATTCAGTGAAAGTTTCAGCTTTCTATCTATAATAGAAAAAAAGTTATGGTCTTTCAAAGATTTCCAAAATCTAAATCATAAGGTAGGTACCTTCTTACTAAAACGATGAAATTTCAAAATTTTTTTTGTCGAGATTTTGCATCCCAATGGTCAATCAACATAGCCCAAACTCCATACACTAAATTTTTCTCAAATTTGAAGTCGAAATCTATGAAAAAATACACTCAGAAAAATTGAAAAATCGATAAATCACCCCAAACTGCTTAACACGATTTTATCTCAAGAACTATAAGTGCAAATGAGCTGAAATTTTCAGGGATTGTAGTCTTTTGAAAGGGATAAAATTCAGTGAAAGTTTCAGCTTTCTATCTATAATAGAAAAAAATTTATGACCTTGCAAAGTTTTCCAAAATCTAAATCATAAGGCTGAGAACGTCACTGAATTTCACTTAAAAAAGTGCTTCCAGAAAGTCATTATAGAAATGAATTATTGTCATTAATGAAAAAGTTATGAAGGTTTCACAGTTTTACTCAAAATTGAGAATCGTCCTCTAGCGGCTAATGTTGAAAGATATCAAAATGCGGTTTGCACCAATCAAAATTTCATGAAATTTGAGCCTCAGAGTGGGGGGGCTTATTTTTTTTGTATCTTGCTCAGAAATTGACGTTTCCTATTAGATGTGTCCAAATTGGCCCACCCTGTACACGTGAATTGTAAATTGAAAATATTTTTATCAAGGCAGGTAAGTACTGCTTTTACTCCTACTAAAACAATAGGCTTAGACATCACACATAATCTTAAAGACGTCTTTTTATCAGGTGTGCATTGCGTCTAGACGTCTGAAGGCCGAAAAAAGATGTTGTAAATTTACATCTCAAAGACAACTGACCACGACCACACTATTTGGTACGGTACAATCGGGTCTTAATCTAAATAATAGATTTATGTATCAAAAAGAGGTTCAAAAACATGTTAAAGAAGACATCTCTAGAATGTCTCGGATAAATGTCATGAAGACGATTTTATAAGAAGACGTTTAAAAGACGATGGGTTTTGTAGTATACGTTTTCAAGATGTCTTTAAGATGCCTTGAACGGCTTGAACACGTAAACAGACGTCTAAAAAACGTCTTGATTGTTGTTTGTGGACATTTTAAAGAGACGTTTTCAAGATGTCTACATTAACTTTCCACAGAATACGTTTCTCATCAAGTTCGAAAGTTACAGGAAACTATTTAAAATGAAATAAACTGGACGAGAATGTGATTTCATTGATGATTTTTTTTCGAGAATAATGAAAATTTTCTATTGAGTTTTTGAGCGTAATAAAAACAACTCTATTATTTTCCCTGTAAATGTGTTTCTAACTTTGAAATAGAGCATCTGATAGGTCTTTATACTTTCAATGATTAATCAATATTCCTTATATCTATATGAGAAAACTTAACGAATAATGTGAATGAACAGTAAAAAGTTTAATATTAATGTGAATGATAAGTAAGAAGTTCAAATGTCTTTAGCCTTCAATTATTAATTAGTTATTATCTAGTTCCATAAATTTTGTTTTAATGTTTTTTAGTTTTTTTCGATGGCTCAATTAATCACTTACTGGCACATTACATTATTTATGACAATGAACGAAATTGTTTATTAAAATTTCAAAATGCCGCCACTAAACTTCCTAATAATTTTACTCTCAATAATTTCAAATGTATGCAATGGTGCAAATATTTTGGGTATCGTTGCTTCGCCGTCCTACAGCCATCAGTTGGCTTACATGAATCTATGGAAGGAATTGTCTTTGAAAGGTAAACATTATTAATATATATACCAAAATCTAAAGTTCCAAATTTAAGGTCACAAAGTAACAGTTTTAACAACGAATCCTCAAAACAATGCAAACCTCACTGAAATAGATTTGAGTGTGGGCTACAATTTTATGAAGCAACAAAAATCGTTTCCAAGAAATGTTTTGGATTTTTTTCGATTTAGCTGTAATTCTTCAATTGAAGTGGATGTTTTGTATTTTAATTTGCCCCAAGTACAAGAATTAATTAACAATAAACATTTGTACTTTGATGTAGTGATGGCGGAAAGTTATAAACCAGAATTTTTGGTTTTTGGAGAGCTATTTAATGCACCAACTATTTTGTTGACTTCTTACGAAGATTATTATGGAATTCATAGAGCTTTTCAAAATGATTATCATTCTATTGTGAGTTTAATAATAATCAATAATTTCATTACAACAACAATTTGTAGCTTTATCCAGATTCAACAGTATTATACGCAGGCGAGCTTAATTTTGTGCAAAGATTTGCAAACATTATAACCCAATGGAGATTTGCTGCTATTCAAAACCAGTGCTTCGTGCAAAGGAAAAACCTTATTGATAAATATTTCAATAATAATACGCTTACAATTGAGGAGATGATTAACAAAGCTTCGATGCTTTTTGTTGCTGTCAGTCCAGTTTTACTTTATCCAAGGCCTGTATCAATGAGGACTGTGAATATTGGAGGAGGAATTACAATAAAGCCTTCTCAAGCTTTGGAAAGAGTCAGTATTAAATCTTGTTGAATCAAATATTAAAACATTATTTCAGGATATTCAAAGTTTTTTGGATTCAGCCAAATTGGGTGCGATTTATTTTAGCTTGGGAGGCAACGTTAAAAGTGAAACTTTAGGCCACAAAACCATTGAAGCTATAATTGAAATCCTGAAAAACCTACCTTATTCGATTTTATGGAAGTTTAACAACAATGGAAGTTTTGTTATGCCTAAAAATATTATGACTGCTCCTTGGTGGCCTCAACAAGATGTTTTACGTAAGTAATTTAGTTTCAACTGGAAATATTTCAACGCAGTCATTTTAGGTCATCCAAATATAAAATTATTCATAACTCAAGGAGGAATTCAATCATTGGAAGAAGCCATCTACTTTGAAAAACCCCTAATAGGAATTCCAATGATTGCGGATCAAGAAAGCAACTTGAAAAAGATGGAGCTTAGAGGGATTTTGAAGTATGTCGCTTCAAGCCCACGCATTGATCCCGAGGAATTGAAAGAGGCAATTTTAGAAGTAATGGGAAATAAAACGTATGTTGACAATATTCGGAGATTGAATAAAGTCAATTTGGATCAGCCAATGAACGGGCTGGAAAAAGCAGTTTGGTGGACCGAGTATGTCATAAGGCATAAAGGAAATGTTGAGCATATGGTTCATAAGACGATTCCTTTTTATCAATATTATTTTTTTGATGTTGCTGGAGTTTTAGGTTTAATTTTGCTGAGTTGTTTGGGGATTATTTATTTGTGCATAGTAGCAATAAGACAATTATTAAGTGATAGGAGGACAAATGTAAAGAAAATGCTTTAAATTGATGATGTATTGTATAGTTAATAAAAAAATTGCCATTTGGAATAATTTATTATTGATGTTTATAGTCAGGTTTTTGATTATTGAGTGGCACTCCGGCACGCATAAGTGATTTTTGCAGGTTTTAGTCATTTTTGCATACATTATCGTAAGAAAAAGCTTTCAAATTTAGTTTAAAGCTTCAAATAAACTTTTCTACAAACAATCCATAAAACTTGAAAGTTTCAAATCACTGTGATCATTAAAAGTACTTTGCACAAAGGATTTTTTGCAGATTTTAATAATTTTTGCATGCATCACCGTGAGGAAAAGTTGCAAATTTAGTTTGAAGCTTCAAATGCACTTTTTCACAAAAAAGAAACTTCAATTTATAAATTTTGAAAGTTTCAAGTTTCTATGATTATTAGAACTATTTTGCATAAGTGATTTTTGCAAATTTTAATAATTTTTGAATGCACTAAACGTAAGAAAAAGCACGTGGCTGAAATTATAGCGTCATATTCACGTGTATTTTACAGTTGACCAGATAATTATTGAAAAGAAAAATTTAAAAACCGCGAAGTTCAATCAAATTTTATCTATTTAAATTTCATGAGATGTGAACGTCAGTGTCAGACGGTCAGTCGAAATTCCATTTTTTATCATATTTTTACCCTATTTTTTTCAATAATTCATAGTTCAAAATAAAATAGTATACATAATTCGGTGGAAAGTTTTCACATTATTGTCTCGAGAATTGGTTGACCTCGGCGCTTCGCACCTCGGTCAACCATAGTATCTCTCGATAATAAAAAATAGTCTTAGAGCTAGGGTTGCCAGACCTCCTATTTTTAATATGAGACTCATATATACCAACTGTTTCTCATATCTCATATTAGCATGTTTAATATGAGACCAATTCTCATATATTTTCCTTAAAAAAAAAAGAAACCATATATCACCACCATCATTGTATACTACCATACACGTAATAGGCCGGAGTGTCATGCATCCACTATACGACCCGATGGTCAGGGATGCTATCAGCACTATAAAAATTGTACCAGAAAGTAGGGAATAATTGTACTAGATTGGTGACATTGTGTACTAGCTGAAAGCGCATCAAATTTGAAATTTGAATACAAATGTAAGCTCTGCTTAAATGGGGGTAAATATCATTTATTTTAAGGTCGGTTTCTCATAGAGGTGGGCCAACCTGCGATTTTACTTGAGCTGTGACAAGACGTGACTGCTCCAGTCGTATCACGGTGATAAATAGCAGTGATTTTTTGGAACAGTTTCACCTTGATTGGCCATGCTGGTAATACATATAAATGTTACATTTTGCTACAGTTTGCAGTCACAGCCGAAAGAGGTGTTCTAGTTTGCCCTCCTCTGCAGTAGCAGTTTCTGTTTGGCGTCACCGCGATGCGATTGATAATAATATGTCATTATTTGCATCACTTTGATTTGAGTTTAGTCCGCGCTGCATCTGCATCGGTGAAGCAGTGAAATCGCAACCCACCTCTAAAATTGAGTACTTGAAGTGCATCCTACTTTATCTTCTTCTTTGTTTCACTCATTTATAACCGCATTTGTTGTTTTTGCAGATGTATCTTACCTTATTTACTTTGTCTTACTATTTTTGCTGAAAATACAATCAAATTAACATTAAAAATGATTTTTTTTTATTTGTTGGAAAATGAGGGAAAACATTCTATTTGAGATTGTAATTGTGGCAACGTTATTTTCGATCCAGTAGGCCTTGTAATGTAATGTCATTTGCCACTTTTGACAGCCGAGTGTTTTTATCCAGCTTTTCCTTGAATTTTCCGGTTTTTCAATCAAAAAAACTTGTTTAAAGTACGAGGCTTTGAGTTTCCTTCATTTTTTGACAAAAATTTCCAGTTTTCCAACGAGGTTAGTGTCCAGAACCTTGGTTTGATCAAGTAGGCTTTAGAATGTTGGTTTTCCATTGAATTTTCCACTTTTCCAAGGCTTCTTCATTCGGAAAAAGACTGTTTTGGGTGCAGGGCTTTAAATTTGCTTCAATTTTCCACCATAAACTTCCATTTTTAAACTAAAATAGTATCCTACTTTATCTCTCTCTTTGTCATACTCATTACCAAATTATTAGTCGGCAATTTTGAAATGTCTTGTTTACATTTTTATCCGAATTTTTCACTTTTTCAGGGTTTTTTCAGTCGAAAAAACAAGTTTAAAGTACGAGGCTTCGAGTTTTTTCTATTTTCTGCTAGAAATTTCCAGTTTTAGATCCATTTTTTTACGGTCAAAAGGTAAGTGAAAGAAAATTATTGAAAAGCAAGCTTTTGAGGACTTATTTAAGGAATTTCTAATTTTAAAATCGTTATTAATTAATTATTTAACGGGTTTTTAATTATTAGATTACAAGTAGAATCCCATTTTAAATGATTTTTTTGGAAGTTTTGTGACGTGGCAATATCGTTTGTAGTCAACTTCAAGTAGACCTTGTCATTTGCCATTTTTGACAGTCTGCCATTTTCAATTGACGAGTTTACATTTTTGTCCAGTTTTTCCTCAAATTTTCCGCTTTTCCAGGCCGTTTTCAATCGGGAAAATCGTTTTAAAGTTCGAGGCTTTGAGTTTTCTCTATTTTTCACCAAAAATGTCCAGTTTCCCAATGGAGTAAGTGACCAAAACTTTGATTTTTCAAGTAGGCTTTGGAATGTTGGTTTTCCATTGAATTTTCTACTTTTCCATTTTTCAATTAGAAAAAGATGATTTTAAAGGCGGGGCTTTGAATTTGCTTCATTTTTTCACCAAAAACTTCGATTTTTAGATTTAATTTTTTCCTACTTCATCTCCCTCTTTGTCTTTCTTACTATTAAGCAGGCCTTAGAATATCATTTTTATTGAAATTTATTGAAAATAAGATTCCAATGCATTGTTTTCGGAATTTATCATTTTATAAACATTATTAATTAATTATTTAAACAAAAAACTTTAAAATGTAATTGAGATGTGGCAACGTCGCACAATGTCATTTTTCAGTTTTGACAGTAGGTCATTTTTGAATGTTTTTATCTAGTTTTTCCTCGCTTTTTCAGGCCGTTTTCAATTGGAAAAACCGATTAAGAAGACGATGCTTTGAATTTCCAGTTTTCCAATGGGGTAAGTGACAAAAACTCAAGTTTTATTAAGTAGACTTTGGATTGTAATTTTTACAGGATTTTCTTTGGATTTTCCGCTTTTCCAGTACTTTTTCGATCGGAAAAATCGATTTTAAGTACGAGGCTTTGAGTTTTCTTCATTTTCATTCATAAATTTCTAGTTTCAAATACTAAAATTAGGGCTAAATAAGGTTTTTCTGCCTCTTTTAAAAAAAAGTGAGCACTTGAATTACATCCTACTTTATCTCTTTCCTTGTCCTACTCAGAGGGTTTTAGAACTACTTTGCACATAAAAAACACTAAATTTAGCTGAAAAAACGAGGCTCTAAATCAAAAAAAGGGGGCTCTCAAGACAAAAAACAAACAAACACAATTGTCGCCATTCTGAATTAACTGTCAAAAATTACAAGGCCTACTTTGACTTTGACATGTCAAATTTTTTGAAATTTGTGTCAGGGTTGCTGCAACTTATGTGCCAGGGTTGCTACATTTTTTCGTCCTTGTAGGCCGATTTTTCAATATCCAGTCACCTTCGGGTTGGTTTTAACTAGAAGTGGGCCAACCTGCGATTTTACTGGAACTGTGGCAAGATGTGACTGCTCTAGTCGTGTTACGGTAACAAATAACAGTGACTTGACTGGCCGTGCTGGTAATACATGGTACATTACATAATCGCAGTTCGCTCAGTTCACAGTCACGGCCGAGAAAAATGTTCCAGGGGTAGTATTTTCGAATTCGCTAGTCATTTCCTTCAATCGCCAGTAAAAACTGTTTTACCTGGCTAATAATGTAAAATACTATAACGTTGCTGTTAAAATAACAGAAAATTAAACATCGTAGGCCTGATTGTCTTGATATCCAGATTATGATAAAAAGAAATTTTAATGGCCTATAGGGCGTATACTTAATTGAAATAATTCCTGTGATGGAAAAGTAAAAAATAATAGATAGAAAACGGCTTCAGGTGAAGATTTACAGCCATTGCGGCGCATTTCACAATTGGAAATGAGAACTTCAAGGAATTTACATATGCATGATGAGTCGTAAAAGAGGCCACTCAGAGAACCGGATGTTTAATCAACATAAAATTTGAATTACACATTTCGAAATTTCAACATAAAATTTAATTAAGTCTGAAATTTCTACATATATTATAAAATCCACAATTTGTTATAAATTTGGCAAGGTAATCAAAGTATCACAAACCTTGCCCAAATTTACTAAAAAACCACGATTCATCATTCACGGCGTCAGTCACCTTAATTTCCGTAATGATACAACAGTGTAGCGCCAATGTTTTAGATACCTGCCTAAACAAGGTCAACACACAGTTCATTGTTATTAGTTATGATAAATATAATAAGGTTCAAGTTGAAATGTACAATATAAATAGGAACCAATTTGAATAATAAAACCAGTATTGAACAATATTAGTTGAGTACTCATTTAATTACACAAATTAGTCATTTGTGATAATTATCCACAAAGTCCGTCTCAAGAGCTTTGTACTCGTTATCTTGGTTAAAGGTAACTAGTGATCTTCAGGGAATTATTCCTGAACGTCACGCCCAGAGATACGGACCTTGGAGGCCTTACAACCCTCTAGTGAACTACAACAAAGGTCCCAACTCTGTTCACCTGATGAGCAGTGGAAGACCAGATCTGGAAAAGATACAGAGTTTATTTGTGTTATTATTTTATTATAACAATACACAAGGTATTTGTTTTACTAAACAGAAATCCACAAGATTAAATGCCGCGGTTGGTGTTTCATAGTCACGGCTAGGAAACCAGCCAAGACATTAAATCTGCCGTGCGTGAAACATATAATTTTTCTACCAAATTTGTTCTAATCCCACTCATTGGAGCTTCAAATCAATTTCAAAAAATAACTTTTTCACAAAGAGGGAACTTCAATTTATAAATTCTGAAAGTTTCAAGTCACTGTGGTCATTTGAAGTACCTACTTTGCACAAGTGATTTTTACAGATTCTAACCATTTTTGCATGCATTAACGTGAGGAAAAGCTTCTATAGGTATTTAAGTATCAAGAACGGTAAGTGTCAATTACCGGGTCCGAGAGTGTTTGAAGAATGACGAAACAGCGGAGGTCTTCAATATTCGAGGGTGATTATAATGACAGCCGATAATATTCAAAATTTGGTTTCGAAGATTCAATTAAAACACATCTCAAATACCTATAACTTTTATTACATTCTCTTTTTCATTATTGTTTCACTATTAATTCCAATAATCAATCTCCTCACAATAAATTTAACCAAAAAATATAAAACACTCATAAGAAAAACTATAGAAGCGCCTAAAAACGAAATTACATCCAACATATAATATTGATACCAAGGAATTTCCTTTGCCAAATGATGAATCATATGATCAACATTTCCTCTATGCCTCAAAACATACTCAGTCCACCAAACGGCCTTTTCCAGCCCGCTCATCGGCTGATCCAAATTCACCCTATTCAACAATCTAACTTTTTCCAAATACCCAACATCGCCTATAACTTCTAAAATAGCTTCTTTCAACTTGTCATGCTGCAAAGGCTTTGACTGTACAAGTTTTACAACTCCTTTGCGTTCTAATTTTTTCAAATTGCTTTCTTGATCGGCAAACATTGGAATCCCGACCATTGGTTTTTCGAAATAGATGGCTTCTTCTAATGACTGGATGCCTCCTTGGGTTATGAATAGTTTTATATTTGGATGGCCTATGAAATATAATATATGAATATTACAATGTGGCTTGTAATGTAATGTAGTTATTACGTAAAACATCTTGCTGCTCAAACCAAGGTAAAGTCAAAATATTGCTAGGCATTTTATAAGTATTGGTATTATTAAACTTCCATAGTACTTTATAAGGCAACTGTTGTAAAACTTCTATTATACCATTCAAAGTGGCATTTCCTAAAGTTTCACTTTTAGCGTTGCTTCCTAAGCTAAAATAAATTGCTCCAGAAGTTGCTGCATCCAAAAAATGTTTAACTTCCTAAAAACAATTATACTTAAACTTATTTTTAACATATTGGTTCATACTTTTTCTAAGATTTCAGCTGGTTTTATTGTAGTTCCTCCTCCAATAATAACCGTCCTAGCTGATAAAGCTCTGGGATAGAGCAAAACTGGACTGACAGATACAAAAAACATTGAGCTTTTAGCAACAAGCTGATCAAATGGTAAAGAAATATTTCCAAAAAACTTATCGATTGTATTTTGCCTTAAAGGCACATACTGAGCCCTAATATTCTGAATTATCCATTGAATTGCAAAGATTTTCAAACGTCCCATAAAACTATTTGCATCAAAGTAAGGAAGCAATATATCTGGATACAACTAAAAACAATTTTAAATAAAAACCAAAAATCCAAAAAATTCACTTACAATATCATGATAATCATTTTGAAAATTCTTGTGCATTAAAACTGGGAACTCATAAGATGTCAGAAGAATTGTAGGAGCCTGAAACAATTCCCCAAAAACCAAAAATTCAGCAAACAACGATTCCACCATAACAACATCAAAATGTAAAGTTTTATTGCTGATTAAGTTTTGTACTTCAGGTAAGTTTAAGTACAAGTCGACGACATCGCACAAACATTGACTCATGAAATGCAAATAATCCAAAGAACTGCCTTCGGTGTTTTTCTGAGACCAACTGCGTTCTTGTAGGAACTTGTAGCCAAGGCTTAAATCTATTTCGGTTAAGTTTGGGTTGTTTTGCGGGTCTGTTGTTAAAACTGTTACTTTGTGGCCTAAAATAATTGATTTTATATATATCTAAGTGTTTTGGTTGCCGTATATTTACCTTTCAATGATAATTCGTTCCATAAATTCATGTAGGCCAATTGATGGCTGTAGGACGCTGTAGGGACAATGCCCAGAATGTTAGAACAATTACATTTTAGATAATTTATTGCCAGTAATAGTATTAGTATTGCACGTTTTTTCCACATCATGTTGAAACTAAATAATAGCTTTTTATTTGATAAGATTAGGTTTTACGTTATTATAAAAGAGTTTCAAGAACTTTTGATTGTAATTTTTCAGAGATAAAAAAAGAGATAAACATAGGCGCCGGAATTTCGGCACGGCCTCCGAAAATTACTATAAAGTAGAATTAATAATATAGACAGGACCAAGCTACTAGACACATAGGCTTAAATGGGACCAGTTTCACTGTAGGATCATTGATCTTCCTTATATATTATTGAAATTCGTGCATCTTCAGCCTCTCGGCTATACTCGGCTTCAGCAGCACCATTGGCGTAGTCAGGATTTGGGGAGGAAGCAAACTTACAGGATCCTTGCAGCATTTTTGGATCTTTTCACAGTATTTTTGGGACTTCTAATGGTGGCCCAACCAGCAATTTTAGTGGCCGCTACGTATCCTCGACTACAAAGAGAACTTTGAAGTTGATGTTACTAGTAGCGGGAACCGTCTAGGCACCATTTCTTCACCACGTTGTTACCAAAATGGGGAAAGATTTTGCAGTAACATTTACGTGCCTGCATCATCTTCGGAACTGTAAATTTACGTCCGGAGACCGTTCCGGGAACGTTGCGAAACCAAATGTGTGGTAAAAAAATACCAAATTATTTATTCGAAGGAGTTACACCACTTCTGATAGGTCCATTATAATTAGAAATCATAAAAGTCAAGATTTTTATTAGTAAACAGATAATATAAGGCGTACATTTTCTGCTTTCAAACAAAATAAGGTTTTTCCAAAAAATGGCGTCTCAAATTTTCCATAAAACATGGCGTATATTATTCAACGCTACGTTGAAATTATCTCTAAATTCGTTAAAGTCGAATTTACCTATGCATAAATGGCGCTCACGAATCGGTTACCTTACAATATTAATTGAAAGTGGCTAACTCTAAAGTGTTTTCTATTGTCCCTCTGCGGCATTTGAAAACACTTTGTAGTCACGCTTACTCAAAAGTTGAATTTTTGAAATTACGGTGACAATTTATTGGTTACTTTAAAGTTTTGGTATTGAATAAGTAGCTAAACTTTGATACCCCATGGTTCCAGCAACTCTGAAACTCACCACAATGTAATGACACGATATAGTCACCAAATTAGGTAGATAAGTGTTACAGAAATTCCACTAATTTTTCTGACTTACTAGTTGTTTAAACTTCATAGTAAGTTATTTGGTACCAATCACTATTTTTTTACCTAATCATAGTAGCAGTGTCGATCAGTGAGGATTTCAGTGGATAGTCAAAGCGGGTTCTAGCATCAAAATCCGACCATAACCTCAATCTTGCATTCGAAAGTGGATGCGTCGGCGCCATCTTGTCATCTGTCAAACATCATGGCGCCATCTGTCGAGAGTGCGGTGAAACATAAACAAAAACAATGCCGCTTATTGGTCGCAAGATGCCATTTGCACGGCATGCATTGTAAAACTGATGTCAACCTGCAAGGACACATCATTTTGCGACCATTCTGGGCCAAGAGGTATTGTTTATGTTTTAAAGTTGACAATGTCTATCTTGGGAAAAAATAGACCATAGACAGCTATACAGGTCCAGAGACAGGTCCGATACAGCTTTTCGAGACAGGCCTGTCTATTGTCCGTCGATTTTAATCTGATACTCGAACGGAATGTGAGCTGGTGGCTCCCTACATTAGAACGCCAATGGTTACCTGACATCACACCTGTTTTTGCCATATGAAACACCCCCTCGCTCCTCATACCGCAAGTGTCAGTTAAAAATCGACGAACAATACAGTTTTTTCGATACCGTGGGAAAATCTCTAGATCGGCGGCACCTTTGATCTGCAATTTCGTTGATTTGACGTTGTCCAACCCCAAATTTTTCGACGTCATGATGTTATCGGTGGCATTATCTATTTAAGGCCAGAATACAGAATCTAACTGTACAATAATCATTGAAAATCTTCTCCTGAAAAACTATCATCATCGCTAGTACTATCACCTAAAGCAATTATAATTGGTTCTATATGATTATCCAGTATTATTTCCCGATCAAGATATTTATCTTCAATAGATTTCACGTGGTTACACCTTTTTATCCACTCGTCTTGGGTAATGTTAGCAAATTCTTCCTGTGCCATTTCTCTTGCAGTGTCTAATTTGAATGTTACATTTTTCTGAGCCACATTGTTCTTCACTGTTGCCCAATCGAGCTCAATGGGATTGAGATCAGGATGGTAGGGCGGTAACCTCAACACAGTATGCCCATATGTTGTTGCAGCAAAACATCGTATTTATACTGCTTATACTTATCCTTGCTTCTTTTTATTATTTCATATAATTGAGGTTTTAGCATGTCAGGATGAAACTCGATGTTTTTTGCATTCAACCAATCTATCATATCTGCTTTCTTCGAGTTAGATGTAGGTGCTGGGTTGACTTGAACACTGTGATACGGTGCGTTATCAACAACGACAACAGAATGAGGAGGCAAATTTAGTATATAAGTTTATCCCTTAACCATTTCCCATAGTTTTCAGAGTTCATCTCATGGTGATAGTCACCTGTTTTACTGCCTGATTTGAAAATTAAGAGGCAGTTAGGTATAAAACCCATTTCTCCGCCGGCGTGAACTATGATTAAACGATTTCCTTTTGAAATATTTTGGAATAAACCATTAGTACTCTCGTCGCTCCAGCTTTTAGAACAAGTGTGTCCACTATGGAGGTAAGTTTCATCCAAATAAACAATGGGGCGGTTTTCTCTTCGGTAGTGCCTGATTGTTTTTATGTAACTGATCCTCAGGGACTTAATGTTATTTTTCTCGATAAGTACTTGCCTATTGTTTCGACTTTTTTTAAAACGGAATCCAATGTCTCGTCAAACTTTTCTAAGAGAAGTGTTACACCCATTCCAGCTAGTGTCTTGTCTAACCTTTGCTCTAAGTTTTTCCAATGTTACCCGACTTCCGTCAGTAATGTGGTAATTGTAGATAATCTCACGAATTTCGTTAGCAATGTATAATGGAACATCAGTCACTGGTGAAAGTTTTTGCCGCTTTTTGCCAGGACTTCTGAAAATTGGAGTGGGACTTGTTGGTTGAGTACCAGCAGTTGTTCCTTCTTGAATGATTCTTTCAATTGTTCGCACTGACACACCGGTAGCACCGTTAACTTTTAATTTCACTGCACTCAAGTTCTCTTCCGCAGATTTATTACTTTTAAAGTAAGTGCAAACACGAAAAACAATTCCACGCGCTTGGCTTCCAAGAACTTTATTAGGAGTATTTCTCGCTTCAGCCATGACTTCACCACCTATTGATACACACTTCAATATAACACAGGAGTAAATGAACCTAAACTGCATATTTTTATTTATATTTAGTCACCCATTTAGTACCCATAATATGGTCACCTTTATTCTGATTAAATTTCTAAGTAGGTACCTATTGTAACCTATTCAATTGTTCTTGTGAAGATTTGACTAAACGAATTTTCAATCGAGGAAAACAATACTCATATTCAAATTTACTAAACCTCTCTTTTATTCTTTGGAATCACTGTGAATAACTTTTCTATTTATTAAGGGCCGCTAAATTAATCATTTGGTAAGTGTTTGTTAGCAAACAATCACCTTTGATTGTGCTTCACGATAATTATTTCATATTGACATTACAATAAATTATCATATTGTACCTACACGCCACTGTTCCCCATCCGGCGACCGAGAGTAGGGTTTACAGTTCAATCTACGCCCCTAACATTTCCGAATTTTGTCTACTGCGCAAATTGCTTTTTCGCCAACTTATGTTGCGGGGCCGTAGCTATCTTCGTTTAGTGAATGGAAAATGACAATGACCGACATAAAATGGTGGATCCATCGGTAAAATTTGATGAGAATAAAAACGCAGGGAATGTCAAAAAAGAGCGAATTTCGCGCAAGTCAGAATATGCCTCATTTTCACTTGCGCGAAATTCGCTCTTTTTTTGACTTTGCTTCGACAATTTGACATTTTATGCGTGTATCAAACGTCAAATTGTCGAAGCAATATCATAAAGAGTGAATTTCGCGCAAGTGAGAATTAAGCTTTATAGTGTGTATTCTCCTTGGATTGCAACAGCCGATCACCAGCTGTTTGTTATTTATCTTTTTCTAATGAACACGATTGAAAAAAGACAATGTACATCAGCCTGGTGATCCCGTAGTAAAATGTCAAATGTCATAGGTACTTAAAACTGGAAAACTCGAGAACTATTGACATTTTGACATTGACGTTATTTTTAGTACATGTGAGCACAATGTGAGCATTTTCACTACAAATAGGGAGCATTTTGATAACTTCCCGTTGGCAACACTGTCAGCGAGACTCAACAGTCATATTCTCAAAAAAGCCGACGTATCGGTCGAAAAAATCGATGCAACTCCAGACCAGGAGTTGAAGAGTAAATCACAGAAGTCCGACATATTAAAAAATCCGGAGTCAGGATGAAACCGGAAAATGGCAAACACAACAATCCAGACGCTTCGTTAGAAGCCAATAGTCCCGCAACCCCTAAATTGATGGAACCACCGAATTTCAACCCAAGTTTAGAATCCTCAATTAATTTTCTGAGCAAATATGAAAGAGCAGCAGCCCTGAGTGGCTGCGTCCGACTCCTATAAAATATCGTTTTTTGGATGTTTCTTAGAAGGCACCGCAAATAGCTGGTTTTCAGCATATAAATCAAGCCAGGCAAATCAAAACCGAACATGGAAAAATATAAAAACAGACTTCTCGGAGGAGTTTACCGGAGAACAACCGCTAAGAAAATTGGAGTTCAGGTTGAATACAAGAAGACAACAGGAAAACGAGGATATCAAGCACATCTTCTTCGAATTATACGCCCTAGCTTATAAGATAGACCCTAAAATGCCCTTCGAGACTTTTAGGGACCATTTCGAGAATAGTCTCCACTCATCGTTCTACGAAACTTACTACCTCATGAGTTCAGGAACGATGGACCACGCCAAGTTGAGAACGTTGGTCTTGAAATTGAGCGAGGTAAAGGAACGCACCTTGATACAACAAATGACTGATCAAACTAGCCTAACATTGGGCGAGCGAAACGGCTGGGGCACACAAAAAATTCTGGAAGAAATTATGAACATAACGACAGAGATTCTAAGAGTTTTGAGGCAAGTTATGGGTACAAAAAAGAATACGAACCAAGAAGGCCCCACAATAGGAATTGGGGATACCACCAGAGATTGTCAGAGACAGATCAAACGATCGGGACCGATACCAAAGAAGCTACAACCCATAAACAACCGTCAAAAGAATAGACAATTCCCAGAAACAAGAAACCACGACGGCAGACCAAGATGTCGAGATTCCGATGAAAACGGACATTATAAATGCGACAAGACTACAAGACGTTCCAAAATTACGGCCAACAACGAAGAGTTTCTTTTTCCAGAGATAATTCGCCAGCCCCAAACGACCAGGGGCGACTCCACTAGATAGTCCCAACGGAGTCGTCCTGCAGATAGGGGCTGCACATAAAATTTTAAAGATAAGAGGGCTGGTGAACAACCGGCCTAACGTAGAAATAGTCTTAGATACTGGATCAAGTCGATGTATAATTGAAAAATCGTTGATTGACAAAATCATACCGTCAAGTGAGGGGATCTCTTTGGTGACCATAGGTGGCAATAGAATTTCCCCCTTGGGGATCTTGGAGGCTAAACTCACAATAGGGAAGATAGCAGGATTTATAGAACCATTAGTAGTAGAAAAGCTCCCAAAACCCTTAATTTTAGGCACGGATTTCCTGTTAAAAAATAACGCGATAATTGACTTTAGGCTAAGAAGGGTCCATCTGAGAAATGGAGATGCTTACGCTACCTTAGATTTTGAAGATAAAAAAGAAGTAGTAGCTACCATACAGGAAAAAAGGTTAACTGTTCATGAAAGACAAATATAGTTGAGCTTCCACAGCAGCTTCCACTGGTAGCGTGTAAATTTTGGCTGCTCCTACTTATTACACACACCTACAGGCAACAGAGGCAACCCTGTCCCTAGCGGTGGGGGCTAGGATTTCCTCTGTTTCCAGACGTCCCGATTTCAGATATTCATAAAATAATTAGATAAAGTTATTAAATCATTGAAATTAATGAAATTATGTCGTTAATTAATCCTAACGCTTGAATATTTTTTATTCAGGAATTGCGAACTTTTGCCACTCATCACAAATTTGAATTTGGGGGGGCTAATTCCAGATTTGGGGGGCTTAGCCCCCTCAAGCCCCCACCTAGAACCGCCTATGTCTGTCAATTTTTTTAAATAATGCCCGTCATAAAGTTAACGCATTTAACCTAGTTCTTGGTTCTGATTTATGTATATTAGGTCTCTTCACACAGAAATCACGAGTGAATTTCATTGGTTGGAACAAATTTTCTGACTGTTTTCAACCAATGAAATTCGCTGTGGCTAATTTGTAATTTCTGTGCGAACAAACCTATAAATTATAGAAAGAGATTTTTATTGAAATTCATGGAATCATGAAAAATGTGTCCAAATCATGAGATCTCATGAAAAATCATGAGACTTGGCAACCTTGACGCACACACTCTAAGTGACGTTTTGTTTTATTTTAGTCGCCTCTGTCAACTGTCACTGTCAATCAATGAACTATACGCACGGCAAAGGACTTATTATAAAAGATCCGCGATGTATCGAGAAGATTATATCGATATTTTTTCGATATATCGAATATAAAATATCGGGACTTTCCGTTGTGCGTGGAACTGTCCCGATTATTATCAAAAAATAGAGATGGAGAATAGCAGCATCATGAAAGGCAATTTTTCGCGAGGATAATCAAACCAAAGATAATCTGAATATGCTCAAATGTTATGTGTGAATTGTGTCACAGTCCCCTAACTCCCTCCCCAACTAATTCTGGGACTGCGAATGACGTCACTATAAGCATCTCATAGTGATGACATCACTCGCAGACCCCGATGGAATGCTTACCATTTAGACTGTGCTAGTGAGTTAATTTTTTTATCGATTTTAAATGAAGAAAGGATTATAAATTATAAAAGTTGAGTGTTCTTGATCCTCGAGTATTCCAGAATTTAATAGTGGGGAAGTTAGGGGAGTATGACAATATTGATACATAACATCTTAGCATAATCGAGTATGCTTGGTTTTCCTCGCGAAAAATTGCCCATAATGTCTATGTAATAGAGCATAGAACTGACTACATAACGGAAGGACAGAATACTAATACCACTTGCATAGGCCGAGTTCGATTTTGACGATTTTTTCATCTTTTTTGTCGATTTGGTTCGAAATTTTGAAAGGCACGTGACTGGATAAGAGAGTTTCAATTTACGAATCACGTGCTTGTCAAAATTTCGGAAGAAATCGACGAAAAAGATGACACAAACGAACTCGGCCATTGTATAATTCTTATACAAAGTTGTGTAAATTTAAATTACATGATACTGATGCTATCACATGGAACGGAATGACCAATAAACACGTTTGTACTTCCGCAATCCCTTCGAGATCCCCCATGGGTGCTGCGCACCCATGAGAGGTTGCTCATAGGTGCACCTGCCCCAGTGCTCCCATGTAGTCGGCGCCAATGATTACTGAACAAATTTCCAGATTTTTTTTTTTACCAACCACTAGCTTCAAAAATTACTTACAATAAAACAAATCACAGTTAGTAAAAATTATATAATTTATACGTAAAAAAAGTTACTTATTCGAAATAAACTGTATCTTTCTACTCAGTCTATTAGTTATATAAGCTGGATAATACAGATTCAGTACCACTTTGGCCTCCCTTATCATGTGCTCGACGTTTTGTAAAAAGGACCTTCAAAAAACAACAAAAATTAAATCAAAAAATAAATAATTAACCAACTTACTTCAAATTGGTGCAATTTTTTGGATGCCCTCCTTGCAAACAATGCAAAATCGCCAGGGCCGCTTCGTAAAGCTTAGTGCCAATGCCTCGCGAGTTTTCGCCTCGCCTCGCCTTTTCGTTTTCCAGCCACAAGTGAAAATACTTGAACATATTTTCAGCATCACCAATTTCAACGTAGTAACTGTACAACCTGTAGTAGACTTCTTCAAAGTCTTTGTGATGCTTGTACAAGATTTTTTCTCTTATTTTTAAACACTTTATTAGAATTTCCAATTGGCGGTTGTTGACAGCTTCACCTTGAACTAGATTTTTAATAATTGGTTAAAATGCAAACCAGTGTCTAGACAACATACTTTCAAGATACTTGCGCGCCTCAATGTTGATTTTTCTGAAGGGCCTTAACGAGTATTCATCGCCGCAACTTAGGCAAAACATAAATGATACGTTTGGGATTTCTGGGACTAAACCTTTGCATTTTGGGCAAATATAACTATCCAACATATCCTATAAAAGATGTTATTGTATTTGATCAAGATTAAGTTTGAAAAAAAAAAAAAACAAATTCTTACCACCTCCTTAGATTGGTCAATACAAATGGCACATTTGCACTCAAAATGGTACAAACTCCTGCAAGCAATTTGTCTTTGTTCCCTGTTCATGCCCCTATAATCGATGCCGTAACAATTTAAAACCTCTTCATTTTCTTGTATATCTTCTAAGGCTTTTACCACCATAGTATCACAGATGAAACTACAAACAATCAATTAAAGTACTAATTATTGGTGATTAAATAATTCTTACAAAATAGTCACATTGGGTCTACAAGAATGATTCATTATGCTAGCAGAAGGGAACATTCCGCAGGCAATTGTGATGAGGATGTCAGGAAATAATAAGTCAGTAGACGAGTAAGTCCAATGTTCGATTATGCTCGAATTACAAGACAATTGGGCGATGTGCTTTGTTATAAGGCCCCCAGCATATTTCAAAAGATTGGTCAAGTCATTTTTTGGACAATTTTGTTGTTGCAAAAACCACCCGAAAAAATCCGTGTAGTTTTTCAGATATGTTACAACTATTGCTGCCATCTACAAAAAAAAAAAATCAATTGAAATGTATTTATAAACAAACAAACAAATTCTTACCACAATATATGGCCCAGCGTTTTTGTTTTTATAAATATGAGACAATAAACGATTAAAATATGAATAATTGTCATCTTTGTTGCCATAATTTTTTAGGTCTTCTTCATAGCCTGCTTTAATGTTTATGAATCCAGATTTTACTCCTTTTAAAAAGGCTTTAAATGCAGGAAATCCTATGCCTAAATCGTACCAAATACTAGCTTGCATTCCTTCGCATTCCCATTTGTGACTGTCGTTCCACGAAGAGGTGCGGCACTTTTCGTTGCAGTAAACGCACAAAGTGCAAGAGCGGCAAGGGATACTACTGATAATGTCTTTGAGGCAATTGTAGCATTTGAAAGAGTAGAATTCTTTGTTTTCTTTAAATACTGGTGCGAAGAAGAAGGCTTTTTCGACAAACAAAACGTCGCCTTTTTTGAGATTTTTTCTTGCTGTTACGTGCCTGCCTCTGGTTTTGTCGTAGCTGAAATCAAATAGTTTTTGTTTGGGGTAAAATAAGGGCTTAAATAGATTGAACCTCATTTTTATTTTTGATGAAGCGTAAATGAAATGCTCGTTTTCGCCTTCTTCCAATTCTGGCAGGTCGTTGGTGTTTTCTCTGCCGCAGATTTCTTTAGTTTTCATTTTTAGGGTTGATTTTTTCATTTGGGTCAGCTTCGAAATGTGTTTTTCTGAAAGCCAAATAGGATATTGTTGCGTAAATAAGGTTTTGCTGTGTTATCCTAGAAATTGTCTTTGGTTAAATTGAATTACTCTCACATGAAAACTACTAGGAAAGCCTAAAAATACATGGCAAAACTTGTGAAAAACTTTAGAAGATTCAAGACTTACAAGAAAGGTTGGTATTTTGATGACTTTGGTAACTACCAAGTTAGAAGATTGTAGTTCAATAAAAGAGTTGACGGAAGAATACAGGGCAATGATTATAGATCTAGAGAGTAGTGGGGGATTCAATAAAAGTGCAAAATGTTAAATCAAGTTCTGATTCAAATGAATGAACCAATGTACATACACGTAGAAATTGAACTGATATCATTATAACAAGAGTTGAGCTGGTACATAAACCTCAGTATCTTCAAAATTATGAGATATATTCTACATATTTGAGTGTTACTTAGAAGCTCTAAAAAATGACATAAGTTCTCTCAGAAATCTTCAGATTTGGACTCTGTCTGTGTAAACTTCCTGGTAACAAATCTGCAATTGATACAAGATGGGTGTTTTAAACCAAAAAAGATGGTAAAAAGAGGGCTGGATTCTCGAATTTTTTAGTTCCAAATAAAATACAAATAGGCATACATATTTTTTCTATTCCAGGCTCTTGAATTCTGGTAGAAATGATCATGGTCCTATGCTTCAGAAACTGGCAATGATTCAAAATTTGCTCATGGTTGCCTTTACAAAAATTGAACAGCGATTCAAAAGCCTGGAATAGTCCAAATTTTGAATCATTCCTGGATCTTGAATTGCTATAAATTGGAATTCTTGAATTTTCTCGAGGGGTAAACCACCTTGGAATTATAGTGTACAAGTATGTGGGTTTCCAGTGGAATTTCTGATTTTGTAGTTCAGAAACTTCTCATTTTTATAATCAGAATTACTCATTAATGAGTTAATGAGTTGATTTCCACAAAGAGAAAGCTTGAATTTATAAATCCTAAAAGTTTCAAGTTATGATGATTATTGGAAATTGGAAGTACTTTGCACCAGTGATTTTTGCAGATTTTAATCATTTTTACATTCATTAACATAAAAAAAGCTTCCAAATTTAGTATCGAGCTTCAAATAAACTTTAAATTAACTTTTCCACAAAGAGGAAACTTCAATTCATAAATTCTGAAACTTTTAAGTCACTGTGATCATTAGAAGTACTTTTCACAAATGATTTTTGCAAATTTTGATCATTTTTGCACGCATTAACGGAAGAAAAAGTTTCTTAATTTAGTTTGGAGCTTCAAATCAACTTCAAATTAACTTTTCCACAAAAAGGAAACTTCAATTTATAAATCCTGAAAGTTTCAAGTCACTGTGATCATTAGAAGTACTTTGCACAAGTGATTTTTGCAGATTTTATTCATTTTTGCATGCATTAACATGAGAAAAAGCTTCCAAATTTAGTTTGGAGCTTCAAATAAACTTCAAATTTACTATTGCACAAAGAGAAAACTTCAATTCATAAATTCTGAAACTTTTAAGTCACTGTGATCATTAGAAGTACTTTTCACAAATGATTTTTGCAAATTTTGATCATTTTTGCACGCATTAACGTAAGAAAAAGTTTCTTAATTTAGTTTGGAGCTTCAAATCAACTTCAAATTAACTTTTCCACAAAAAGGAAACTTCAATTTATAAATCCTGAAAGTTTCAAGTCACTGTGATCATTAGAAGTACTTTGCACAAGTGATTTTTGCAGATTTTAATCATTTTTGCACGCATTAACATGAGAAAAAGCTTCCAAATTTAGTTTGGAGCTTCAAATAAACTTCAAATTTTCTATTGCACAAAGAGAAAACTTCAATTCATAAATTCTGAAAGTTTCAAGTTACTGTGATCATTAGAAGTACTTTGCAAAAGTGATTTTTGCAAATTTTAATCATTTTTGCATGCATTAACGTAAGAAAAAGTTTCTAAATATAGTTCGGAGCTTTAAATCAACTTCAAATTAACTTTTCCACAAAGAGGAAACTTCAATTCATAAATTCTGAAAGTTTCAAGTCACTGTGATCATTAGAAGTACTTTACACAAGTGATTTTTGCAGATTTTATTCATTTTTGCATGCATTAACATGAGAAAAAGCTTCCAAATTTAGCTTGGAACTTTAAATAAACTTCAAATTTACTATTGCACAAAGAGAAAACTTCAATTCATAAATCCTGAAAGTTTCAAGTTACTGTGATCAGTAGAAGTACTTTGCACAAGTGATTTTTGCAAATTTTAATCATTTTTGCATACATTAACGTAAAAAAAAGTTTCTAAATTTAGTTTGGAGCTTCAAATCAACTTCAAATTAATTTTGCCACAAAGAGGAAACTTCAATTCATAAATCCTGAAAGTTTCAAGTCACTGTGATCATTAGAAGAATTTTACACAAGTGATTTTTGCAAATGAACTTCAAATTCACTTTTGCACAAAGAGGAAACTTCAATTCATAAATCCTGAAAGTTTCAAGTCACTGTGATCATGAGAAGTATTTTGCAGAAATGGTTCTTCTTTTCTTGAGTCCTTGTTAGTCTCATTAGTCCAAAATTAACTGAAATTCCAATAGGATTCTGTATGATTTTAGTAGGATTGTCTGGGATTTCAGTATAATTCCATAGAATACACACGTCTTTTTTAAGGTGGTTTACCTTTCGAATTTTCTTTATTTGTAAAAATTTACAAAAGATTCAAGAGCCGAGAATAGACAAAAAATAAAACAAAAAAACTAGAAAATAGAAAGAAGAAATTCAAAAATCACCAATAATCTATTTAAATTAGAAGAAATCTTTGAAAAATCATGAGAAATCTGAAAAAAGTACACAAAATACAATAGACTTGACAACAACGTTTCAAGGTAAAACATGAGATATATTAACTAGCAATAGGTGAGAAACTATGTAGATCATCAATCAGTTTAAATCTGCATAAATCCTAAACAAAATCCTAATCATAATTCTTTATAAGTCAGCCTTAATTCTATTAAATCCCCAATTGAATCAGCCTTAATTTTACTAAATTAGCTAAAGATACATATTTGTAAATCTTCATAAATCAGTTGAAACAAAGAAGAAATCTGAAATTGAACTCCGGCTCAGGAAGAACCATGTTTGCTTCGAGAAACTTCACAATCTATATCTTCTTTGTCTGGCCAGATAAAAACATTATTTTGTCTCTTCAAAAATTTAACAACTAGGTATTTGCTGGTAATTTCTATTGTCTGTCCAACATAGCACTTGAATGACTTATTGCCAATGTAGGTTATAAGCCCCCATGATCCAGATTTATATATTTCATCAATTTCTACATTTCCTTCCTTTTGCTCTTGCTCTTTCATTTCCTCTTCTCCTAAAATGTCTTGAATGTCATAGTCTGACTCGCTATCGTGCAATGGATAATCAGATAAATTGTCTTTTTTTTCTGTTTGCATAATTTACGTTTATATTCTTTGCTTTTATGTTCAATTTTTTGAGAATATTGCTTACGTTTGCTTGGTTGCTTTTTAGCTTTGACAGCAAAATGTTCTTTTATTTTTTGTAGGGTCGATTGCTCAATTTTGTATTTTTCATCTTCCCAGTTGGGTTCAGTCATTGTTAAATTATAGTTTTCCATTTTCAAATTTGTCTGATCTTCACTTGATTCTAACTCACATTCATTGTTCACGACATACCATATTGCAAGACAAATTCTATTTTTGTTAGCAACATCGCAGCTTTCTTGATCAGCACTCTTATCTTTAATTAAAAATCCAATAATTAATCCAATTATCGATACCATACAGGACTGCTCAGAATTACAAAACGACATTGACTCCTTGTCTTCCTGGTGTATCACAAATAAACTACCGCTAAATATTAATAAATGCCAATCAATGACTGTTTCCAAGCTTCATAATGAAGTGGAGTTTGCATATAGACTTGAAAATACCAATCTTTCAAGTGTAGATTCCATATGAGACCTTGGGGTAATTATCGATAGTAGACTAAATTTTAATAAACATATTGACCAAATTGTTCAAGCATCTTTGAAAACACTTGGCTTTATTATTAGGTCTACAAAAGATTTCACAAGTACGGAGAGCTTGATTGCTTTGTACAACTCATTATTAAAATCAAAATTACAATATGCAGCTCTGATATGGTTTCCCAATTGTGATGTACATGTCGACAGGCTCGAATATGTCCAGCGCAGATTTCTCAAGTACCTAAGCTTTAAGCAGGATGGCATCTACCCTCCACGGGGATATGACCACAAATTATTACTAGAAAGATTTAAATTTTTATCACTTAAGCAAAGTACAATTCTTGCCAGTCAATTGTTCATTTTCAAAATATGCAATAATTTAATTGATTCGGCTGAAATATTAAATTACCTCAATTTCCTGGTTCCCGCAGCAAACACCCGAACTCACCATAAATTTTTTCTGGAAAACTGTCATCCTAATGTCGCCAGAAATGCGCCTATATATAGAGCCTGCTCATGACATAATCAATTATTACCCACTATTGGTGAGTTGGATCTTTTCAATGGTACTGTAAAGTCATTTAAAACTAAAATTATATCACAGATAAATAATGCTCTCCTGAATTAAATTGCTCTAGTAATTGTTTTTATTTGTCACTCATTTGTAAAACGTCACTTATCAAGTCAAAACATAACCAGCGAAAATTGATTTTTACAAGCTACTGGCTCTACTGACTTGTAAAATTGACAGCTAAACTGTAAAAACTTTTTACAAGTCAGTAGAATTATTTATTTTTGAAAAATCGGTTTTATCACAAGAATAATTGCTTGTAGGTACCTTCTGGGAGACTTTTCTGGTGATAAACTGTTGGCTACGACTGAGGCTTCATTAATAATATCTTGTAATAAATTCATTTCTGGGAAAAAATTGCAAAATGGAAATCTGTCAAAAAACCTATTTATAACTAGAAACAACGTCTTAACAACGTATCATTCTCATAGTTATACCAA